AATTCGTCAGTTCATCCATTTCTTGTTTTTAAACTAAATCATCTTAAAGATTCTCAAAATCATATTTCAAAGAATTATACACATGTGTTTTTCTTCACCAATATCATGTATCATCTCTTTTAAATTATCATTCATCTCTTCTTCAAAAAAAAATTTTGTTGACATAGTTTGAATGTCTAATATGTCTCCATGTCATGTTTATATTATACTCTTAACAATACTATAAACAAACAAATGATTACATATATCCCCAATTTTGTGATGAATTTGACTCAAACAATGAAAATATGTCCCTTTGATAAGTTTTTTATTTTCACGAACAAATTGCAAAAACTCATCAACTCTCTTTTCGTATTCTTCACTAATATGACGTACATTCATCTAACCAGTCCATAACTACATATGTTATAAATTTTTGTCACTACTAGAGATTCAAACACATTCATATTTAAAAAAAATATACAAAAATAAAAAAATGTGGGATTCAAACAAATAGGTGCACTCAAACGTATAAACAAATAATCACAAATAATAACAAATCAATTTCAATGACAATGCAGTGGGAGACATTCATACAATATAGTGGTTGAGATCCCAAAAACAATCACGAATTCAATTTGAACATAAAAGAAAAAACATAAAATTCTAACCTATAAGATACACAAAATACTCTAAAACTCTCGAATCCAATCGGAGAGAAATGTCAACTACTACAAATGAGACACAATGTATGTATTGTCCGTGATTACCGTGGTTGAAAAATACCCTTGAAGGTGCTGCAATAGTCATTGTCGTCATCGACTCAAAAACCCTTGCGCGCACGAGGATAATTGACCCTGGGTGAAAATAGAATGGAACTTTTACATTGGCCCCAAACCGTCGTAAAAGTTGTGTTTATTATTTACAAAAATGTCACCCTTTTTTGTAAGTGATTTATTTTGTATTTCGTTGAAAAAGAGGTAACATAAAAAAGCCTATTTTGTACTAGTACTTAAATAAGTGTATTACTGCTTTCGTGGCATTTGACACTATATATGTCTAGATTCCTAAATTCATGATATTTAATATATAATAGAAATCAGTGACAGACATTGACCATTGATTTTGGAGGACCAAATAATATATTATTAATAAATAATAAATAAATATAAAAGGGTAAAAGAAGTGGGAGGGTAAAATTGTAAATATATAAAATGATCATTAAGTTTAGGAGGTCAAAATTATAAATTATATGGGAGTTACAAAATTGAGAAGAGGGTGAGAAAATAAAATTATAATATATAAGTAAATATATTAAATGATCAGTAAGTTTGGAGGGTTAAAATCATAAATTACATGAGAATTACAAAACTTTGAGGGACCACCGCCCATCGGTTTCCCTTGAATATGGATAGAAATATTCCTTGTATGCAATCACACATAATATTACATTAAATGCCCAATAATTACATTAAAATAGGTATAATTTATTAAGTAAAATATCATGATTAGTGGCTATAAATAAAATCACCCTATTCTTTACATCTCATTCTCATTAGTTGAGGATACATCACCTATCTCAATTCTTGAAGTATGACTTATATATATATAACCCACCGATGCGTCTGGAATTGGAACTTGGTTCTTGGGTGGTGAGTGTCAGGAATTGTTGGGCACTGGTTCTATAGTTGGAATTTGGCTACAAGTTGGTTCAAGAACTGGAATTTGGTTCTTGGTGAAGGTTTAGGTGCAAGATCTGGAATTTGGGTCTTGTGATAGATTGGGTATGTGATTACAATCTGTAATCTGTAAAACATTCAATCTAGTGGAACTCAGCTGGAATTTGGCTGAGAGCTGGACATAGCCCTGGGATTGGGTGAACCATTATAAATCTTGGTTGTATTTCTCTAAATCTTACTCTCTTTAATTCTGTTGTTGTCTTACTTTGAATAGCTTGATTTACTTGGTTCAAGAATTGGTCAAAACTCTTAATCTTTGAAATAGAAAATCTGTAAATTGCGAAAATCTTTCAAATATCAATTTACCCCCCCTCTTGATCTTAGCCTCTTTTTCTAACACAGCATTGTCAAGCCGCTGAAAATTTATTGTGATAATTCCGCAACAGTCTTCTTTTCTAAGAACGACAAGTATTTCAAAAGTGTTAAGCATATGGAATTGAAATACTTTGTCGTTAAAGAAGAAGTTCAGAAACAGAGAGTGTCAATAGAACATATTAGCACTGATCTTATGATTGTTGATCCTTTAACAAAGGGATTACCACCCAAGTTGTTTATTGGTCATATAGTGAATATGGACATTATGTTTACTAGTAGTGAATGTTGAATGTTAATGTTATTATTAATGCTTATGTGACACTCTGAGATCTTTAATGTATAAGTTTCTGAAATTTATGTTTTCTTTTTTATTTATATGTATGCAAATTATGATGAAGAAAACAAATTATGTTATTATTATTGAAATGATATTATGTTTGAACTCACTATGTACTTCTCATTATAAAGTCTTATTAAGAGAAAGAGATAATAAAGTGGTACATGTAAGGGAACATGTCAATTGAATAACATGTAATCATCATGACTCTTGTTATAGGTATATCTTTAATTATGAATAATGATAAAATCAGTTTATGTAAGGTCCTTTAATGTGCATTATGACTTAAGTATTAAATTACATAATCATATGACATCACATGAGTCAAGTGGAGAATATTAGAATTAATTTAATTCATTCATTCTATTATGTGACTCATGTAAAATATAATGATGAACTCAAATGTGATTTAATAAAATATAAAGACCTATTGATTATTATGGGAAGTCAAAATAGAATAAAAATAAAATAAAAATTTACGGTAACCAACTTAATTAATGAAAAATGATTAAAGTTCTGTCTCGACCATAAAGTTGTTTCATGATAAACTATCATGAAAGCCTTAAAAATAAATAAAAACAAAGAGATGAATAAAAAAAAAAAAAAAAACAAAATATTAAAGAATATACTCTCCGCATATCCCATGCAAAAAAAAAAAAAAAAGAGCTCAGTAGGACAATGTCTCATCCAAATTGAAGAGATGAACACTGATTGACCCATCAATCAGAAACGTTTAACATCACGGCTCTCATCTCACAGAATGCACCAGCCGGGAATCGAACCCGGGTCTGTACCGTGGCAGGGTACTATTCTACCACTAGACCACTGGTGCTTCTTTGCTAGGAAATTTCATATAGTTTATATCCAATCCTTATTCCAATAGGGAATAGGCTACGAATGACTCGGAATGCAAACAAACATGCTGAACTGCTTCCCATCATCTCATCCCATACTATTACAGTGAATGAATGAATTAAAGTTGGTTTAAATTATTTTGGTCTCTACAGATTTTTTTATAGTAAAGGAATGAATTAAACGTTAGAATTGTTTATCCTTTGATCTCTATTTTTTTTTTCAAAATTATTGTAATTTCTTCATTTGATATACAGGTTGAATTATATAAAGACAAATTTTTTAAATGACATATTAGACTGGATTGAATAAGTTAATCCGTAACTGAATCATAATTCTATTAATTCAAGCTTAACTTGGTAGATGACTCAACTTTAATCAAAATATCTTCAATTCGACTTTAATTGGAATTAAGATTATTTTTAATTGTTGTTACTTATGATTGTTTTTAACCTACGTTGATTTGAGTTAATTTTTTATAACATAGATTGATGTTATTTTTCAATTTATCTTTATTACGATTTAATATAATTATTTTAAGTATTGTTTAGACTTTTTTATTAACGATCGTGAGACAATTTTTCAATTAATGGAGATTAGGTTTAGGAATCAAGATTTTTTTTTTTTAATGTTGGTAAGGATAATTTCTCTACCCAATATAATTTTTCAATTATCTTTTTACTGTTACAGCGTATATTTTTCCAAGATACATTGTCAATTACATAAAACTTTGTTTCAGTTGACATTTTGAATAAATAATATTTTTTATTATTAAATTTTCTTAATATTAAAATAAATATTTATATTTGATGATAATTAAAATATTCTACCTAAATAAAATATTAATAAATTTGAACTGTTTATCGATACCAATATTTGAAAAATAAAATTGAATTAAAATAAATTCAATACTACATAAAATAACGCTATTAATTAGCTAACATCCAATACTATAACTTTTTATGTAGATCATATTTCCCACGAAACAAACCATCTTTAAAATGTTCGTCATCGTTACATGTCTGATTGTTTTTCAGAGAATGTTTGATTGTAAATGTTACATGTCTCACATGCTTTGATTCAGAAGCATTTTGCAGTGACAAACTACACACTGGACAAGTGGATGCGCAATATTTCTTTCTTTGTACTCCGCCAAACATATCACACACCTGCACAACCAAATTGAATAATTTATCCACATACTAATTCCCATTTGGAAAATGTCAATGTTTGTTTTAAAATAAACAGAGAAAGAACATTTTCTAATCCCTAAGAATTAGAGACCAGAAACTAGACTTAACTGTGTGCTTCCAACTGAAACAAAGGCTTCATGGTCGAAACAATTGGGGATTGCAGCAACAAAAGCAGGTTCAAGGTCATTACCACGAAAATTTGGTTATCAAGTAAATAGTGCTAAAGTTAAAATCTGAAGCACCCAACATGAATAGAACACAGGCATAATGTAAAAGTTCTTCGCAAGAAAATTGACATTAATTAAGTGATTAAGGGGCAATATACATTCTAATTAATACAAAGCATCCATTACTTCATGTAATTGAAAGTTTTCATTGGGTACTTAAAATTTTTCATCACATATTTCCTCTACAAAATTGAATGACACCCGAATCACTGTAAGGACTTGACATAACATTAATATGAGTAATTTATGTAACTTAACCAAAAATAGAGCTCAGCAGGACAATGTATCATCCATATTGAAGAGATGAACAATGATTGACCCATCAATCAGGTTACATTTAACATCACAGCTCTCGCAGTGCACCCAGCCGGGAATCGAACCAGGGTCTGTACCGTGGCTGGATACTATTCTACCACAAGACCACTGGTGTTTCCTTGCTAGGAAATTTCATCATTATTTTATTCTATACTATTACTATGCATTAATGAATTGAACTTAGCTTAAATTATTTTGGTCTATAGATTTTTTAACCTGGTGTAAATGATTCAACAATCAAGATATCTTCAATTCAACTTTAGTTGGAAGGTCACTAGCATAATCTCAATTCACATCCACTATACATCAATGGAGACATTGTAAATTTGTGGTCGATTGAGATGATGTCAACTTGATTTTTTTTTCTATCAATTAAATTTTTTTAGGTAAAAAAATTAAATATATTTTTAGTATGCTAATATTATTTTTTTAGTACATATTAATTAAGATTTTATTGATTATCATGATATTTATTTTTTCAATGTTAAACACAATTTTTTTTAAGTCAACTAAGATTATTTTTAATTACTGTTAGTTATGATTATTAGTTATTTTTCAACTTATCTTTATTACGATTTAATATAGTTATTGTGTAGATTCTTTTTATTGACCATCGTGAGATAAATTTTCAACTAATGGAGATTAGGTTTAGAAATCAAGGAATTTTTTTTTCTAATGTTGGTAAGGATAATTTCTCCACCAAAGTCAGTGGTGGAGATTTTTAATGTTTCAGCATATATTTTCTTCAAGATATATTGTCAATTACATAAAAAAATTTCAAGTAAACTTACCTGATGTTAATTAAGAAAAAGAATCTCAATCAATATCGAGTGAAAAACATTACCAATTAATATTTCTGTTATTAAATTTTCTTAATATTAAAATAAATATTTATATTTGATGAGAATTAAAATATTCTATCTAAAATATTAATAAATTTGAACTGTTTATCGATACAAATATTTGAAAAGAAAAATGAATTAAAATCAATTGTTTGTGTTTTTTATGTTAGACTTTTTTTTCTTTTGATCATAATTAGAGTTTTTCTTTAATAATTTGCATAATATTTTTTTATTTGATAGATATCCTATATTTTTATGTATTTTTTTTTACTTTTGTCATTTTATTAAATTTTTTTATATTTTATTGACTTTATAATTCTAGAATTTTTTTTTCAAAATTTCTTATACTAATTTTTATTTTTTTTAATATTTTTGTGTCATTTTCTTATATTTTAAGAATTTAGTTTTTATAATTTTGTTTCTCAAAAATATTTACAATTTTTGTGTTGTTTTTAATATTATTTAAAGATTTATCAATCATTTTTGTATTTTTTAATATTATTTAATAATTAATTAATTAATCACATTTTAAATATCCCGTATTTTTATGTAAAATTTTATTTTACTTTTATCATTTTCTTAACTTTTTTTTTTTTTACTTTTGAGAAATATACACTGAAATTTAGATATTTTGTAGTAAAATATTTGAATTTTGAGACCTTCTCTAAACTTCTTGGTGGTGGATTCAATTTTAATCCTGCCTTCATTGTAAATTTCATAACTATAACGAAAAGACAAAAATACTGAAAAACAAAGAATATGAAATAGTAAGAATACTTTACAATAGAAATAATATAGATTATTAGCTGTATTTTTTGCTTTCAAAATCCTTTTCATCTAACAATAAAAAATGAATAATCCCTCAAATCAACCTTTAACATTTTAGTCCTTTAAAATAAATAAATTTTAGTTCGTCCTTCAAATCATGGGTTAAATTTATTATTGATTGTTAGCAACTTTAAGTTATTATGGTCCCTAAATTTGATGCATGGATGTCAATTTGGTTCCTGAATCTATGGAACAAATTGGCACAAAGTCTGTCAAATTCAGAGACAAAATTGGCTATAGTTGTTAAATTTAAAGACTAAATAGACTAATTTGGTAATGTTAGAGTCCAAATGACAGGATATGTTTATTTTGGTACTAAATTGATTAAAGACAGTCAAAGTCAAGGACTTGATTTGATTATTTGTAATATGAGGAACCGTATTCATCTGTGGTGTTGAACTTAGGGACTAGTGATTTAAGTCCAAAAAATGGGAAGAAATGGTATTTATATGCTTTTGAAACGTATTATTTCTAAGAAATATACATACCCTTTATTAAATTTATCAAGGGAGCTTAGTAAAACTACATATCTGATATCTCTTTATGTTTGACAAGCAGAACATTGGCCGATCACTTTACCCCAGTCAATGTAGTTTCGCCGTATACTTCGTGTAGATGATTTTTGAGGATGCTCCTGAGGTACTCTACTTGTTCAAATGCTCCTTGAAGTTCCTCCCACTGCAAGAAAGAGTCCTATCGTCAACAAATTCTTATGAGACAAATCAATATCCTATCAATTATATAAAGCCCTTAAATTGTCTGGCCGAGTAACAACTCATACTCTGGAAAGTAAATTTGTTTTTCGGGGAGGTTGCCACATTCTAAGGTTTGGATATTTCACAAGTCTTGGTTATGGCATACTGAGATAGTGATACTCACAGAGGTCACAGTGAGGGTGTAAGAACTTAACATAATAGTTGAACAACATCTTGTGGTGAATTTGATTGGGTATTCCTCGGAATTTGGAATAATGAAAGGTGTAAACAGAGGCAAGAGGGTTATGCTCAAATGTTTCTGCCGAGTGCAATTTGAAAGATGAACACTCCAACGATATGCCATAAGGAGCTTACATTGCAAAGAATAAATTTATCTACACAATAAATACTAGTTACTGAGTTTTGTATGCTGCATGTGATAACAATATGCTAACAATAAAGATGTGAGTTAACATGACTGCTTCATGGCTTTATGGTTTTTTTATTGTTTTGTCTGAGAAAAAATGTCGGGGAATTAAAAGTGGATAAGATATGTCTGAACTCTGAAATAGATAAGAGATCTCACCTCCTGATGGGATACTGATGCGACTTTCCAACCAGCTGCAGTGATGTATCGGCGTTTTAACATGGTATGACCTAATGGAACACCTGATATAGGCAAAGATAATAAAATAACAAACAAGTTAGTTAAGATTCAATTAGATATAATTATCATATTCGAACAGAAGGTTAGAAACTTAATATACACAACACACCAGTATTTCTTGAGAAATGAGTTGGACCATCAATCTCCAGAGCAAACTTCTTATCAACAAGCACAGCATCCAAAGTGTAACCATCCACAACATATTCTTTGACCCATTCTAGGCCAGTGCTTATGAGTAGGCGTCCAACCTCTTTTTGGAACGATGAAGTTATTTTCTGATTAAACCTTTTGGTTTTTCCAGCAAGAGCAACTTTATCCTCAAGCTCACCACATAATGATAACTGAAGATGCGAGAATTCACGCTTCAAGCATTGGTTTACAAGATGAACTTGAGAAGCAAACATCATATCCTCCCTATAAAACTCTGAAACCCTATGCTCCTCATAATGGCTGAGAGTTTTCCAGACATGAGCGAAGAAACTCCTATCCATTTGCCCAAATACGGCATAGGACCAAGCTATAGTCCCAAGCTGGTCTCTAGTTAAAGTTAGTACAGGAGAGCCAGGAGAGCCAAGAGATCCATTTGAGGCACCACTTCTATCAACACTGATCTGTTCATGATTATTTGATGTTTTTTCACCTGTGCAACCTCTCAATTGGCAACTATCTTTGAAGACTGAGTCTAAAGAATCAAATACAGGGTCAGCAGGTTCATATAGAGAAGCAAAAGCCCACAAAAGCTGAGCTAGCTCTTGTTCTTGAAAAGTGTGAATCATCTCTGAAGCCCTTTTTGACAACTCTGAGAAAAGATCCGGAGCAGAATGCTGCATTGCAGCAAAGGCACCTGCTGTATTAGCAATATTTTGGGAGTTGAATTCGCCAACCTTGGTCAGTGCAACCTCTGCAATTCTATCCATTTCTGAAAGATAAAGCAGTTCACCTCCAATTTTGGACAGTGCCCAAGATATGTTAGAGATTCCTTGAGCAGAGGTTTCAGGTAAGGCTGTCATCGCAACGCTCACAAGCATAGACATCTCTTTTTGTCGAGCAAAAGCCAGTCTTCGAGTTCTCATCATAGAAACCTTCTCCATATTCTTTGCAATGCGATGAAGAGCAGTAGCAATGTTCAAGGGGGACAGAGGAGAGGGGCTTAGGCCTTTTGCAACTGCAACAATTGTTTCATAAGTTACCTCTAACACATCATCTGCAGTCTGTGCTTCTACTATTGCTTTGTTCAAGTTTACTTCTTTTCTATGATCTGATGGCCCAGAGAATTGAGAAAGCCTATTAACAAATTCTTCCATTGTTTTTTCCTTCTTTGCTATAAACATTCCATCGGAAAACATACTCACTTTCCTTTTTAAATCATCAACATCATTCACATGTTGCATAGGCTGTGCGTAGTCTTCCTCCAAACTAAAGTCAAGATCTTCTATTTCCTCAATTTTCTTAACTACCTTCTTCTTGCTTTCCAACTTCTTCTTGTCCTTCTTCTTTTTCTTCTTAACAGTAACCAAATCTTCCATCAGATGAGCCATACCCCTTGCTTCAATTGATTTCAGCGCCTTCTTTCTTGCCCTCACACACCAATCCATTTCATCTGTTTCTTCAAGCAACTTTGACCTCTGCTCTTTTTCCCTTTTCTTGGGAGGCCGGTAACCAAATGGATCAAGTTCCCCAAGGAACTGCGATTCCCACTCCACATTGGATTCCCCTGTTTTATCATCATTGTCCAGTGCATCAGCACTAGCCCCTCTGGAGCTAGTGCCAGTGTCTCTACCTAATTGTGTGCAGTTACTTCTAAGGGTGCAGGATTCAGGTTTTAGATTTAAATTCCCAGTTCTTGTCATGACCACTGGGAAAGTATAACCAAGTCTTGGAGTGAAAGCAAAGGTTTTTAAGCAACTTTGGTTAAACAAAGAATTCAATAATCCTTCCATAACTTACCTGAAGAAAACAAATTCAACCAAATAGGTTTGACCTCAATAAAAAGAAAATTATCTGTCTCAGTACCCTCCTTACAAATGCAATCAACAACTCACGAAAGGGGATTGTTCCTGCAAAGGGCTGCAGACATGAAATGCAACACCTTTCAACATAATTGATAGGGAATAACAAAGAAACAGTAGAAAATCTGCATGTAATACATTGGAAATGGAAATTACTTGCACATTCAAAAAACAAACTCAATAAATAGTTCCAAAACCCATTCAAAAATAAAAATAAAAAATTACTTTACTCACTGAAATACTACAGATCATGGTTATCAAAATCGCAACTCATAAACTCGGACAAGTTTATGTTCCCACACCCTCGAACCTAGTTACTCTCGAGGAGAATTGTTTTTGAGTAGGCTCACTTGGATATTTATTTCTTTCATCTCTATCTAATTCAACTCACTAATTTCCACATACCTTGTCTGCAGGGCATCAGCCATTAATAACACTTATTCATTGATATTTATGTCTTATATGTATTAAACTTCATTTCAACTTTCGTACTAACCAAGTCTGCAAAAAGGTTCACATTAACAATTTTGGCCTCCAATCCTCGCTAAACTTCAGGTATAGATTACACATGATTTATTATGTAGCTAATTTTAACGCTTTTGCTCACTTAAACATGCTTAAAACCAATGTTTAATGGCTTACACAGCTGCAGGGCTGCAACCTATATTTTTAGACTTTTCCATATTCCCATTGTCCAAGTTTGTCTTCGAATACATTCAAGTGAAACAGCAGTCAGCTGCAGGAAAATTTGATCTCAAATTCCCACATCCCCTCCCCTCATGCTAGTTTGCAAGATAATTTACAACAACTAAATGATCATATGAGGCACACAATCAACATCTAATATCACATTTAAAATAGTAATGACTCACTGTAATGTACTAAATAAAAACTTGCAGCAGGCAACATATAACATAATTTTTCAACACATGCTCATAAAAAATCACATTTTTAACACATAAATTGACATTCGATCCTTACCAGAATTTTAACAACAATGCAGCATACATATTTAAACCTTTTTATCATAAAAGAAACACAACTTTTATGACCTAAAAATAAGTTCTCATTACTGTTTTAAACCAAGGTCAAGGAGAATATAATTCAGACATAATAAAAACCCATGCTTTTGCAACCAAACTCCAGTGATTTATGAAGGACATCAATCAAAGGGCAATCCAGTTAACGAAAAGGAACTTAATAAATATGAATAGACTCCTCCTCAACTTATTTAAGCAATTTACTAAATAAATAAGTTTCGAAATTAATGTCTTTGCTATTACCCTAGTAGTAGCAGCTGAAATAGTCAGCCGGTTCTTAATATTTTCTTAATAAAGTCTCTCTCTCTCTCTCTTTAATTAATTAAAGCTTAATTTGTATCGAACTTAATTTACTTATTATTTAAATTTAATCCTAAAATAATAGGTCCATATTGTCTTAGAATTTTATTTTTTTCCCTCCAGTCGAAAGGTTCTAGGCAATGGATGGCTGAAAGGCTTCAATGTACAACTTTTGTCCACTTTTCCTATTTTTACTTCATTGTATTAACAACTTGGAGTTATAAAATATTACCCATTCAATTATCATGTTTTTAAACGTTCACTATATCCTAAAAATTGAATTGTATACAATACCCTAAAAAATTCCAGTAACAGTTTTTCAATGTCCAGAAAAGTGACAAAGAAGTCCACATTTCTCTTCCACCATCAAAATCCAACATAAAAACTTCAAAATAACACCTAAATTAAAATATAATCACTGTTTCTCACAAGAACAATAACATTATAAAAATCCCATAACAGATTTCAAAGCCCAGAGAAGTGACCAAAAAAAAACTCAACAGTTCCAGCTCAAATCATGCTTTCTACCATCAAAATCCAACATAAAAGCTTCAAAACAACACTGAAAATAAAATATTGTCCACTACTTTTCACAAGGACAGCAAACGGAAAAAAAAAAATTAATAACCGCCCGTGATTAGAAATGATTTCCATTAGTTTGAGATGAAGGGAAGGAAAAATAAAACCAGAAAGAGAGGGATACTTTCATCCATACCTTGGATTTTGAGGCATAAAACAGAAGGGCGTTGTGGGAGAGAAGAGAATCCACGCACCAGCTTTTTCATGGAAGAGAAGGAGAAGAAACTTCAAAGTGTGAAGGACATTCAATCCCACGCGGCTTTGGTTTGGGGAAGCAGATTATGTTCCAAAAAGTGTTGGAGAGATTTTTTATTTATCTTTTCTTTTGAGGGTAAATTATACATACGGTATTAAAATTTTAAAAAATGTTCTATAGTTTTTTTTTATATGATGTTTAGAATTTTGAAACAGAACAAAATAAAAGCAATGTTTATAATTAATATGGAGTAAATTGGATTAATTATGTTTTTAGTATATATAATTTGAGTGCTGGTTTTTCTTCTCAAATTTGAAATATTTTATTTTAATATGTTTTAGAAATTTTATTTAAGTCGTTATGTAAAGACTACAAAAATTAAAAATATTTAGGTTTATAAAATTATTGTTTTAAAATTAAAAGAGTATTTTTTTATTATTTGAGGATCTAAAATGTTTTTTTATTTATTTAGAGAACAAAATCACTTCACTTTAAATTTTAGCAATTAAAAATAATTATTCTTCAATTAGTTTTTCAAATTATATATATTTTCAAATTATATAAGTTGAATGTTTTACTTTTTAATTTTTAAATATAATTATTTTTAGTTGTTTTCAGTTTTACTTTTTTTTTTAAATTACATTGGCATTCTCTAAACAAAATTGAAGTACACTTATATCCCAACTTTTAAAAAAATCGCATATATGTCTTTTATTTATGTTATTACACATGATTTTTAAAGTTTTTTTTTAAATCATTATTATTAGATATCAGTATGAAAAAGTGAAATATGAGTGTATTTCGAAATAATCTAAATATATATTAACATAATTTATTCTATTTTTTAGAATCATTTTGTACTAAAAATGACTAAAGTTTGAGGACTAGGAAAAGAATTTTAAAAAGAAAATGTATCCATGCAATTTTCAGGAGTAATTTAATGGCGTGTTTTTTTTTTTTTAAAGAATTGTAAAATCAATTATTTTATTTTTTATTTGTTTTGAATTCTTTAAAATTAGTTTAAAGATTCCAAAACGACGACACTTTGGTTAACTTTATCTTCTTCTGATTCAGCGAAGTTGCGAACTCCGCAGTAACAGAAATGGCTACCACTTCTGCTTCCTTCGCTCGCTTCTCCGTTATCTCGCGACCTTCTTCCGATTCAAGTTATGTCCTCTTCAACGTCGCCCCCGAACCGGAACCCCCAATTCCCGTACTGGTTCGGCCCGGTTCAGGTGCTCGACCGGCCAGACCGGGTTCTTCACGAAACTGGGGCGTTTGATTAAGGAGAAGGCGAAAAGCGACGTGGAGAAGGTGTTCTCGGGATTCTCCAAGACCCGCAACAACCTCACCGTCATCGACGAGCTTCTCCTCTATTGGAACCTCGCCGAAACCGACCGAGTCCTCGACAAACTCGAAGAGGTTCCTGTTATTCATTTGCAAAGTATTCTTTTTTATGAGTTTTTTATTTCATATATTTTACTTATAATTTATTTTTTGTACACTCACATTGTCCTAAATATATATACCCCTGTAACACTGGCTGCAAGATGGTCGAATAAACTTCTGAGTAAGCATAAGAAGAAGAAAAATGAAGTAAAATTAGTTTTCTACAAACAAAAATGAGTTTTTATTCGTTACTTTATAGAATTTTTTTTCATACAAGCTTCTCGAAAAGCTTAAATTTTTTTATATGTATAAGTTAATTTTCTATTATAGATTTCTTTTTTACTTTTCTTTCAGAAGTACTTCAAAAAAAATATTATTAGAAAAGATGAAAGAGAAATCTTGTTGATGAAAAGAGCTATTACAACTTATATAAAAAATAAAGACTCAATAAAAACAGTTGTCAAGAAAAAGACTAAGAGCAAATGTAACTACTAAAAGCTAAATTTTAACATATTTTACATCATTTAGCATAGATATTTATCATGCTCAGTTTGGACAAATTTTCATGAAAAGAAGCAGCAGGCACGGATTTAGTACGAAGGTCTGCAAATTGAGCTGATGATGGGATAGGAAAAAAAAATGAAAGACACCTGCTAGAACATTTTCATGACTAGATGATGGTCTAGCTCAACATGCTTTGTTCTCTCATGGAAAGTAGGATTTTGCTTAATCTGCACAGCAGACTTTTTATCACAGTACAAGTGAACAGGTTCTGATGTTGGAATACGAGGTCTTGCAACAATTTAAGAGCTATTGTATCTGACAAGTGGTGGCAGCAAGATCTCTGTACTCAGCTGCTTTAGAAGACCAAGATACAGTGGGTTACTTCTTTTATTTCCAAGATATCAAGGAGGATCCAAGAAAGATGGTGAAACTAGTAACCAAACATTGAGTATCAGAGAAATCTGCTCAGTAATCCCCAAAAGCTTTGGGTAGTCTTATTTGTTCAGCAATCTTAACCAGAAATGATTCTCAAGCAAGATTGATCTCATACAAAAATAAATAAAAATTACACTAATATAAATTAATTATTATAAAATTCGGCAATCTTAACATGCATGGCAAATGGGTATTGCATGGTAATTAACTTATTTTATTTATGAATTTCATTTTCACAAACTACTGGTGTAATGATTTTTACATTATTCAAATGTTTGCATTTCACTCAAATTGTTTATTTATTTATTGCAGGCTCTTTTAGTTTCTGATTTTGGGCCGAAAATCACTATTAAAATTGTGGAGAATTTGCGTGAGGATATATTTTCAGGGAAGCTTAAATCAGGGAATGAGATAAAGGTATCAATTGTACACAGTTGACAGAAGGGAATCTTTGAATTTTGTTATTGGGTGACTCACATTAAATGTGCATTGAATGGTTTCAAGACTCAAGATTATGTTGTAGTTTAGCACATGTTTAGGAGTTTGTCAGTTGTGTGTAAAGATCAGCTTATTCTGGAGGGAAAGAATGTTGGAGAAAATAAAGTCGTAACAATTTCAAAAGTTGACTGAATCAAACATGTACTAAATTGAATACTGAAAATTTTGGTTTTGCTCATGAGTGTCAATGATGTTTATGAGCTTATAGGAGATTTAATATCTTAAAGGATAGTCCTTTATTAAATGTTTATAGAACTTGTTTCTGGGCTGTTATAGGTCTGAACATGGTTAGAACTAATTCTGAAACCTTGCTTCCCTTGTTTTATCATGTTACTTAATATATTGGGCAATTTCTAATTTTATGATGTGGAATGTGTTATGCATTAACTCGAATGGCTTTAGGAAGCACTGAAGAGAAATGTTTTGGAATTGTTAACCTCCAAGGGGAGTAAAACAGAACTACAACTTGGATTCAGGTATGAGCATTCTGTACATAGTTACGAGTCACTAAATTGTATTGGCTTTACTTTTGTGCTTTAATTTTGTTTCTTCAGGAAGCCAGCTGTAATAATGATAGTTGGTGTTAATGGTGGAGGGAAGACAACATCTTTGGGTAAGAATAGGGCTTAAGGTGTTGATTCTATTCTTTGGTGAGACATGAATAATTGAGACAGCATGCAGTTTTTTTCTCCCTTTATTTTCTAGGAGAGATTTGTTTTTTGGAGTCAATGAATACGATAAATGATCTATTTAGACAAATTTCTCCATGAAGACTTTTAGGTGAGAAAAATAAGAAGAAAAAAATGAAATTGACTCCTCCATAAATATTGGCTTATGCATTAGCTAATTTCTAAAAGTTCTCTCACATTATTTCTCCAAATTTTTATCTAACCTGTGCGTAAACTCAATTTTAACTTATGAAGTAGTTAATTTCATTTTTTTTCTTCATATTTTCTCTTCTAAATCTCCTTTTGGAGAAGATCATCCAAAGAAGCGCAAAATGCTACAAGGGTTATAAAGAAGCGCAAAATGCTACAAGATAAATTCTTCAACTGATAATATTCCAATCAAAACTCTTCCCTCTTCCAATTAGCACTGGAATTATTTTTGACGGTTTATCCAAAACCATACCAACTTGATCAGCTTTGACTTGCAGGAAAGCTGGCCTATAGATTGAAGAATGAAGGGGTTAAGGTTAGATTATATATTATTTGAGTGTTGCTTTGGCTCGTGATTTTGATCTCCAACTGAAAGTTTGTTGGTCAACAGGAAGTTCCATTTAGCTGAAGCTTCAATTGGTTTAGAAATTTAGACACTTAAACCTGCTGGATTGCCCTTATCTGTATTTTAAGGGCTTGTATAACAGTGTGTTGGGGGCCTAATGAGCAACTTTTGAGTATTCTGTTAAATATCACATACAATGACTTCATTTAATCTAGCACCTTTTAGTCTCTCGTTGGTGTTCAGCCCCCTATACTTTTTTTTTTGCCCGGGGGGGGGGGGTTGGGTGGGTCACCTCTAACTTGCAGAAAGATTAGCCCATCCTTCTTAAATATTATTTTCCTTTATGTTTTGTTTGCTTGTGGAAGATACCTTACCCTTGTTCAGAATAACTTTCTTTTATAAATCCAGGTGTCTGGAGGAAAACTTTCTCTTTGGATCCTTGAAAGATGCTGTGTATCTGAAATGAGAAAAAATGAATCAGTTGGTAGAGAAAACGATCACAGGGGGTGGAGGAATACCTAAGTAAATACGAGGAGAAACCATACAAAAGAATGTATTCTAAATAATTTTACTGAATATTTTGTTTGACAGAGATTAATGGAATTAATTGTTCAATGTTGTTGATCCTTTCGAATGGGGTAATGCTTGGTCTTTATCCTGCTTCCAAAATTCTCAGTTAATCCCTTCTAAGGTTTTGCCTATAGTTTGTCAACTCCTGCACAGTTTGATATTTTCAAATATGTGAAATTGGCCTTATTGTAATGCATGATTTATAGTGTATTCTGCATGTCGTTATGATGCTTCATCAGCCAACATTAAGATGTGGAAAGTTTTATACCATTAGTTTTTTATTCAGAGAAAGAGGGAGACTGCACTGGTCAAGGCTTCCACAAAATGGGGTCTGGGTAGGGTAGATCTAGGCAGCCTGACCTCGCAAGTGAAGAGGCTAATTCCAATTACTTGAAGCCATTACCTCCTGGCCATAAGGCAGAAACTTTTCTGTTGCCCCAGGATCGTGAGAGAAGAAAATGCATTAAAATTATGTGGTCAATATTTTTTAAAAATAGAAAATGTTGTTCATGTTCCTTTAAAATTTAAAATGTTTTTTTCAAGGTTAAAAGGGAATTGAAGGATGTTGTTCTTGCTTTTGAGCTTTAAAATCTATGGTTGTATCATATTACCTTTCGTCACATATCTATACTTCACATTTTAGGAAAAAGAATTTCATGGTGGTCCTTGTTCTCATTTTTAAAAGTCTACCAGATACTTATGGCAGCTGGTGATACATTTAGAGCAGCCGCTAGTGATCAGTTGGAAATATGGGCTGAAAGGACTGGGTGTGAAATTGTTGTGGCTGAATCAGAGAAAGCGAAAGCATCATCAGGTACAAATAGAATTTGATTTTGCTCTTGGATCTGCTGTCAATCACATTTAGATTTATAGCATCTTTAATTGGATAATATTTTTTTGCTGGCTTGGATACTAAATTTTGTACCTATTGCATTACTTGCAGTGCTTTCACAGGCTGTAAAAAAGGGAAAAGAGCAAGGTTTTGATATAGTATTATGTGATACATCTGGGCGTAAGTGCAGAAGTTTTATATTAGCTGTTTTGTGTTTTAATGAACTACCTACATATATTAGCATTTGGGGTTCATGTTATGTTCTCAGGTTTACACACTAATTACAGCCTAATGGAAGAGTTGATTTCTTGTAAAAAGTCTGTTGCTAAAGTCATTCCAGGTGCACCCAATGTAAGCCCAGGATTTTTTCTCTTTCCTCTTGACTTAATCATTTTGCTGCGGGTAAATGTTTGGGAATTACTGAGCACTAGATCAAACCATGCTTGTTTGTTGTATCCCCACCAGTTTAATGGCTTAAAAAAGTTGCCATTGTGTTCCTTTTTTTTCTGACAATTTTCTGAGGAGTAAGCATGTTGACTTTGGTTGCAGGAGATCCTACTGGTTCTTGATGGGACTACCGGTTTGAATATGTTGCCACAAGCTAGAGAATTCAATGATGTAAATTCTATTTGTCCCTTTTAAATTGTATATTTGTTGAGTTCAGAGAATTTGTTATTTTATTTTCTTGAATTCCTGTTATCAATATATGATAATACAATGTGACATTCAGATTGCTTCTTTGGGATGGTGGGTATTGGATCTTTGAAGCTAAAGATCACATTTCAATATTATAATTAAGATGGAAAATGGGAAGAGATAGTAAAACTATTCAATCTTGCAAGTGATACTCAAGGGCTTATGATTTTGTCGCACGTAGTAGAATTATACTGATACAAACTCCTCATCAGTTTGACTTAATTATTTGATGCGGTGACATATGCAGTAATTGAGTTCCTCTTAATTTACTTCCAAAGGCCAATTTGTAACTTTTTCTCTCTTCAAACAAGGAATATACCAATAATTTATACGAATACTAAGATACGTTGTGGCCGATAGTGATAAATGTTTACTTATGATACCCAAATCTTAGTCATGATGAAAACATGCAATTCTGATGTTCAATAGTCATGGATGTGGTGAACAGTTCAATCTGCCCTTAAAGGGTGATGGAGGGAATAGATTAGAAAACAAAGCATAGTGCCAATTTGAAAAAGTTTCAGTAAGGGAATGGAAAAGTTTATCCGGTTAGCAAGCATACTAAAAGCCAAATAAATGGTCAGGTCACAAATATGTTCTAGCTTTTAGTTATGGTGGTGCCATGAGTTCCTCGCTCTCATAGTCTTACTATAATTTCTGTGCCTGCATTAAATATTCTTGCCCGTTATTTCAATATTTAGTATTATGGCTGCCTCTAGGTCACGTGTTAACTTGCTGTCAACTGTTATTGTTGTCTGAACCCTTGAGCTTGAGACAGGTTGTGGGCATTACTGGTTTGATTTTGACCAAACTGGATGGTTCTGCTAGAGGTGGCTGTGTGGTATTCTCTTCATTCTTTTTCTCTCATGGATATTTAGTAGTTTTTGGACTGAATAATTTTTCATTATTGGTTGTACTTTTCTTTACTGGGTGATCATGGTAACGACTAATTTATGTTGGCAGGTCAGCGTGGTTGATGAGCTTGGAATCCCTGTAAAATTTGTGGGTGTCGGTGAAGGTGTTGAAGACCTTCAACCCTTTGATGCGAATGCCTTTGTCGATGCCATTTTTATGTAAACCAATGTGGGTTTGGTATGTACATCATAACTTGGACTTTCGTTCCTTTCAGAATATAGTTGATTTCTTTTCAGACCTTATTGCAGTTAAATATCATCCATAAGATCTTCTTCTTTACTTTTTTTATTTTGCCAAATTTGTCCCTATGTTTTTTTAATCATACAATTTTGGTTAACATACCATTCTATATTTAACCAAAATGCTGACTTGGCAGTGCAATGGTGTCACAATAACATTTCTGTCAAAAATTGGTTATGTTAGTCGATGGACTAACACTGTGCCCTTAATTGAATTGGCAAAAAAAAATGGGGGACGGAATTTGCAAAATTGAGAAGATAAGATGACTAAAGTTGCAATAAGTCAATTTAAAATACTTGCACTAGCCACTTGGGATGAAAAGATTGGGTAAGCTTGGAGTTAAAGGCCTTTGATTCAGTTTCTGTATGGAAAAAAAGCAAACAAAATGGATTGGTAGTTTGTTACTATTGTGGGTTACTTGCACATTTGGCTGTTTCCATTGTCATTATGTTCGTCTGATTTGCTGCATGTCTATTCAGAATAATTTTTCAGCAGAAACAGCTTGACATGAATGCAGAGCAGCACCGGGTCGACGGAAAGATTGCACTTTATTATGGAACTAGTTCTTGGGAGAGGCCAAGCATTGCGAATGTGTACAGCATTTTCAGGTGAAGAGCTGTTCCTTTTTGAGGCACTCTGAGTGAACACAATCTTCCTTTGCATGCAATGGCTGGAAGTTTCTGATTCTCTCCTGTTTATGAACAGAAGGATTTCATTGTGGTGTGCATATATATATATGATGCTTACAGGAAAATCTAAACAGTAAAACACATGCTCCATTGTCTGTCAACACAAGCATCAACCACGTAACTAATAATTAGTATTGAATATTTGTTATTTTGTTTTACATTTCAAAAATTTAATATGCTGTCATTCTTTGATCGTGCTTAGCATCTCACATTTAGGTGAGTGTTCATGCAAGTAAATCCATGCAAAACCCCATCCAATGATGTCTTGAATCTTTCTCATGTTTACATGCATGTTTTGGTTTAGGGTTGGATCAACTAAAACATGGGTATGAGATCTACATTTTAGCTGAATTTATTTAGAGTAGTTTCCATTCCATTCACGTTTGAGATGTAAATTTGAGAATTCTAACGCCAAATCAAACAAGCACTTCATTAATTGAATCTCCGAGCACATTTTCTTTCACTTCTCTTCCTTTTTTCCTTTTCTCCTTTCAACCCCTCTCTCCAAAAAAATTGTGAGTTCTCTTGATTAGATTGAACACCAAGAGGAATTATGGATATAAAAAATCAATGTAAAGGATTCTGAAATTGGAATTTGAACTACCAATTTGTTGTTTTAAATTCTGGTACTAAGTTGCTGTTTTGGGTTACTCCAACACAAGCATCCAAACATCAAAGAAAATAGGAATACTTTTTGAATAACTGGAGTGTCTTGAAGATTAAGCTATATTTAGGGCTGTTAAAATGCAGTTTGATTTGAACTTTTTGATAAATTCAGACATGATATATTTTTTAGTTATTAAGTAATTTCAGTTATAATATACTTTTTAGTTATTAAGTAAATCCGAGCACTTTTTTCAGATCTAGAAAATGACTCAGAATTTTTATTTTTTTAACAATTAATCTATTAATATTGGAAGAATAAAATAATTCTTCCAATGAATTATTTTTGGGTCCAATAGAATATACAAGTTCAGGAAGAAGTTTTGTCAAATAAGATTTTTTTTCTTTCGACCATTTTTTTTATTGTTAATATAAGGATCATTGTTAGTAAAAAATATTGATGATTCGATTTGGTTTACATTGTAAAACGGATTATAATATTTTTATCTATTCTATCATATTTAGATTAAAAGATTAATTGGTCAAGACTAGATTAGAAATTAAAAATTTTAAAAAATTATTAACATGTTTTTATCAAAATAATTAATTAAAAATATTTAAATAAAAATCAAAAAGTACATTTTAAAATTTAAATTATATTAATAAATTATTTTTTTTATTTCAAATATAATTATTTAATATTTATGTTTCAAAATATGAAATTTATTCAATCTTAAAATAATAATTCATCTTAATTATTAAATTCTTAAATATGGATTATTAAAAATTTGTTATTATATTACTCTTAAAATAAGTGATTTTTTATTCTTATATTAAAAATAATTATTATTTATAAAATAGTTTAACTTATAAGTTTCACCATATAAGTCATGATTTTAAAAAACTATGTTAAAATATATATAATTTAATTTAGGTTATAAATTTTTTAATTTAATCTAACCTAGTTCTTAAATCTCGATCATTAGATCAAATTTATTTTAACAGTCCTAATTATATTAGAGAAAAATTCACAATGAGAGCAAAAAAATTAAATGTTACATATTTTTAATTTTAAAATAATATATAAGATATATTTAAGTGACTTTGTAATGTATACAACATTTATTTCCATTAAATATTAACTTTTAAGTCATATAAAATAAATTTGATTTTAATATTATTCTTAATACAAATAATCTTAATAAAATATTATTTCATAAATATTAATATTATATATTTACTAAAGTAATTTAAAATATAAAACATTTTATTGAAAATATTATGTAAATAAGGTATCTTAATAAGTATAAGACGTTTTTTAATTTTAAATATATTATTGAAAATAAATTTAATAACTATATTGTAGCAAAAATATATTAAAGTTAATTTCAATGTATATATACACACATTATTGAAAAAATATTAATGAACACATTTTTTTTATATGAAAACAGAGTCAAAATAATTTTTAAAAAAATATATTAACTAATTAAATTTAACATATATGCAAGGACGAAACTGCTTTGTTTGGAGGAGGGACTTTCTTCATACCTCAAAAAACATATAATATAATATCCTTTTATTATTAAACATAGCATAATCTCCTTACACATGTTTCAATAATAATAATAATAATAATAATAATAATAATAATAATAATAATAATATCCAAGTATGTAAAATGATAATAACTTCAAGAATAATTTTAACCATAAATGTTCTTTTTTTCCAATAAAATAATATAGTTTATAATACATGCATGTTGTCTTACCACTCTCATTCCCATTGTACTTAATCCAGATTAAATATGGATATACTTCAAAAGTTTCCTTTGATTGGATATGTAAAGTCTTATTATAATGGTTTTTTTAGTTAATTTTTTTTGGCTTATATTTTCAACGTGAAATAAGATTGAATGATATTTTCAATCCTTGAAAATGTATATTGACTAAATCTTTCAATATTAATAAATTAATAAAGTATTTTTTTCCAAATAAGTTATTAAGTATTATTATTAAAATTCAATTAATGTTCATCTTTTATATTCCTTCTTTGATTTAAATAAGTTCTTCCATAAACTATATCATATTTTAATAATAACATAAAGACTAAATTATAATTCTAAAATGAAATTGAATGTAAAATATAAAAATTATTCATAGAGATTTTATTTTAGTTTATTTAAATTGTAGAACTAATTGAAACATTTATACTCTTTCATGGATCAAATTGATTATTTTACTGTGCAATAACTTTTTTGTTTTTCAAATGATTTTTTTGTTCAACTATGTGAAACTCAAATATCGTGCTCTGAACGTGTAACCACAATATAAGGTAGCATGAGCAATATAGAGCAAATTCCCAGTTTTCTTCAGTATAAACTCAACCTAAATTATTCATAAACGGGCAAGTGGCATGTTATAGAAGGTAGCACGAGTATTATAGGCCACATTCCCATTTTTCTTCAGTTTAAACTCAGCTGCAACTACAGTCAAATTTCTTCCGGACTTCACCACTGAGGCAGTGGCTAACACTTCTTCCTAGATAAAAGTAAAGTGTAAAATACATTTAACAAGGGATTTAAGCATGAAAATGATACATTAGAATTAGATGGCCACAACAGAGACATCATGTAACATAAGTAGGAAAAAATAATTTAAGGATTTGGATGGATGCTATAAAGTGCAAAGTAAAGTGCAGATGGTAATTACTAACAGAAACAACCAAGGGATTGATTTATAACAGATGCAATGTTTGTTAACCATGCAGTTTTTTCTTTTCAATCAAAATTTAAATTTGATTTTTTTTTAGTTCCCATCTAAGCTGAAATGTGTTAGCCATCCACCAAAAATTCCACGCCACTTACAACATTACACATTATGTGCCAGAATCCTGGCCTTCAAAGTGCCATTTTGCTTCTTGTTGAGGAATGGGGATAATAATCTAAATTTTAGGAACAGTACTTTTAAGGTTGATTTTACAATTTCTCAAGACTTCTGATAAAGACAATAATAACAAGAAATTCCAGATTCGTGAATCAGACTTTGATGGCTGATATCTTACTAAATTTTTGAAATTCTATTGTAGGCATAGTTATCTTGGAAGCATAATTGATTAGGTCGTAATCACACTGATCCAAAGCAATCCCCAGGGCGAATGCTAATAAACTGTGCAACTGAAGTTGAATAATGCTGAGAAACAACATTGTTTATAATTACAAGAGTCCAATCCAAACATCTCAAACGTCCTTATGCAGCACACACAACAAACCATTCTAGAGGCTGGACTCTACCATTTATCTAGCATCTACTTATTTCAAGAAAAAACATTTGTATCGCAATAGACAAACATGGAAAGCATAAAAAATTAATATAAATAACTCACATTTGCAGGAGTGGCAGACATGTAAGAAATGCTCATTTCCCCAAGAAAAAGTTCCTTATCCTCAGCAACTACCGTTCTAGCACAAGCAGTTGACAGAATCTCAGCCAAGGTCCCAACAGAACCTCCATGCAGAGTTCCATACCCATTCTGTAATTCCAGTAAAGAAAATGAAAAAAAAGTCCATATACAATCACATTAATACTTTTTGGTTTGTTTCCACCAGACAAAATGATAACTTCGAATCCAGAACAGTGAATTTATTTGCTATCATAGAAAGTGAAATACTAACAAACCCAATAACAGCCCTTGGCTGTTACTTGCAACGAACCAAAAATATTTCATCCACACCAAATTATGCTTGATCAATATATAAAAAAAATTAAGGAGTTTCCAAATTTGTATTTTGTTTTCAGTTATAATTATAAAAATGTCACCTTATTTTAACTTCGTTTCTGATTTTCAAAATTTTGTTCGAGAAACATTGTAAAACACCAATTTTTATGCAAACTTTTGAATTCAATAAACAAATTACAAACAACATAGGATTTTTTGCAATTAAATGAAAACAGAAAGCACTTCCTCAAAAGAAAGAAGCAATTAGAACTCCAGAGGAGTGCTGCTAAACAATCATTCCATCATTCTCTCCCTATTGCGAATTAGATTTCATTGGAAACTATGAAATCTTGAGTCTGAGACTCACAAAAAATTCTTATTTCCAATAAATTCTTATCAATATTTGATAGTGTAATTAGAACAGTGTATTGCTAACTCCTCCATACAAATAGTAAGGAATTCAGTAGCATATTCGATCGACCAATCAACAAAACATTTCAAAGCATTGATAGATGGATAGATCTTCTCAATTTCCTAGGTTAACAACCAGAAGAACATCCAACCAAAGGAACAAAACCTTTTTATTTTCAGGCTTCAGAGGGCAAGAGAATAAAAAAACCGGATTTCTAATAATTATCTTGCAAATTACAGAAATTTCGTTGCATCATATGGAATAGACAAACACTTCAAATATAAAGGCAAGCCACCTCCCCAAATCCCCCACTTCCCAAATTTCTTAGCTTCCCATCACAATATTGGAAGAAGCAATAACTACTCAATCAATGTTGGGAGATTTATTTGAAAATAGCACAAAACTTACAGATGTAGTTCCATAAGAGACAAAACTTAGAAACAGTATCATAGATAGTTGTTCTCCTACCATATTTAAACTCTCATTTTTGGCAATATACCATGACAATTAATAGAATTTTTTATTGCATAGATTACGAAGTAAAACCCAATTCTAAGTTGTAATTGCAGATCAGTACTAACAACATAGGATATAGCATCTAAATTTTGTGCTTACATAAGTGTTGTTTTGTGTTATTCTACTATCATAGTCGAAATTTTAGCTCTTTTTAATATAAATTGATAGTTAAAATACAAACTTTTACTAATGACAATTATCGAAAAAATGAAACTCTAATCCCAACGGAAGATTTAAATATTGTCCTTGTAAACACCACTAATTTATCGAACCAACAATTGAGGGGATTAAATTAATTAGAGCAAATTAAGAATTAAGAAAGCGAGAGTTTACATACAGAGAGGCATGGTTTGGCGAGAATGGAGATGGAAATTCGTCCTGGTTGGATGTGACGGAGTTTGATGAAGTTCCGAAAGAGGGCGTCGTAGGCGCCACGCGCGTTCCAGTTAGGAAGAACAGGGGCAGCAGCCCCCAGTGCTTCAAGGAAGCTCAAGGTGGCGGAAGCATCTGCGGGGTCCACCTCCTTCGAGATTTTCAGCCATGGCGACGCACACAAGCTTCCATTTTTCTCAGACCCCATTTCTCAATTACTTTTCCTACTTCTTGCATCCTCTCTCTTTTCTTCATTTTGAATATATACATTATGTTTCGAATTTGTAATAAATTAATTAACTTAATATTTATTTATTATTGTAAAATATCATCATCCATTTTTTTATAATAATTTGTACGAACATATTTTTTATTCAATAGCAAAGAAAATATTGCATTAAGTAAATACGAGAGAAAATAATAAAAAATGTAAAATAAAATAGTTTTTAAATAAATATATTAATAGCTTTATAATTATTTATTATTTTATTTATCTTTCTTTAAATTCTTTTTCTCGTACTTTCTTTGGTTTTTTCTTTATAAAAGAGAAGGTGATTATGATAGAAACCTTAAATTTCTACAAGTGTGCTTAAAGTTAGGTTAAGTAGTTAATTAATTAGGTATTAATAAAATGTTTAAATTTATTTGAATGTTTTAATAAGAATTAAATAGTTAGGATTGTAATTATGGTTTTCTTACTTTTGACTCAACTAAGGATCGTATTTGGGTGGAGATACTTGTCACAGTAGGGTCCGCTAGCCAATTTTTATTTTTTTTAAATTAAAAATTGATTAATAATTATTTTGTTAAAATTATTTTTTAAAATTAAAACTTAAAACTATAATATAATTTGTTAATTTACTACTTTTATTAATCATTATCAATGTTTTTACCAATCATTAGATTAAATTATTTATATTTTATCATAATTTTCTTATCATTTATATTATCTTTTATCTAAAATAATTCTAAAAATAAAAATATCAAATAATTTTTTAATTAAATTTTAAAAATAATTTTAAAATCTAAGAAAGAAACAACTCTTGAGTTGCGTTCATAAAAAAGTTTGAAGTACAACTTTTTTATTACATCTATAAAATCGTCCGTGTCTGTACTTTAGTTTTCCTATACTTTATACAACATGTCAAATCGTCCTGTGTCTCTGTACTTTAGTTTTCCTAAACTTTAGGTAGGCAATTTGATTAATAGATATATAAATTAAGATAGATATTAAATTAAAAATTTATTTATAAGTTAATAATTTGTTTGAATATGAAGTGATAATATAATTAGGAATACAAAAAAAAATAAAGGAAAGAGAAAAATAGATAGTAATTTATTTTGGTTCGGGTATAATCAACCCTACATTCAATTCTCAATCAACTTTTAATACAAGAGTGACTTCAAATTTACTATCTTTCAAATTCAGTTTCCAAATTACAATCAACTTAGTAGAAGAACTAGTACAAATTAAACTAATTAAAAAGACAATCACCTCTTTAGAAACTCATTAAAGATGAACACCTCCCTAGAATCGCACTAGGGATGAGCACATCATCAAAACAAATCAAAGGATGAAAAACATCTCATTAGAATCTCACTAAGGATGAATACCTCCCTAAAATCACACTAGGGATGAAAAGTACCTCCTTTTCCACCAATACAAAAAGGATGAAGGTAATAAAAATAAGAACAGTCACACCTGGGTAATAGAGACAACAAATTGTAGAAATATATAGAATGTCAATCTCTAATAACAAGTATGATTAACAATAAAAGCACAAAAGACAATAGATAACGAGTTTTCTCAAAAGGTGTAAAAATCTTACTCGAAATTCTTTTTCAAAACAAATTGAATGTAAATTGTATTTTCGAATTTTGTAATTGTGTGTTTTTTATTTTTCATCAAAACTTAATTAAATAGAAAAATAACATCAGAAAATTACCGTTGGATATTAATATTTTTATGAATAAAAATCGGGATATATTCAAAAATATTTATTCTTCAAAACAAATATATTTTTCAAATTTGAATATCATAATTGATTATGTTACCAAGTATAATCAATTATGATCGAAAAAATCATTTTTCCATTTCTGATGCATCATAATTGATTATGACAAAGAAAAATATCATCTTATGAATTTTATGACACGTGTGTTTTTGAGGCTTATGCATAATATTACTTCATCAATTTATACCTCCATATCTAGTATTCTAAAACCCTATCTAATATTCAAGAATCATCTTGAGTTTGCTTGAATCATCATCTTTATCAAAAATATATCTTGGACATGTAGTAAAATGTTTCACATTTTCACCAACGTCTTAAATTCAGTTTGTCCTTAATTCATCTTGAATGGTGTTAACTTGAATATAGTTGACTTGAATCATCATCAAAATCATCTCTTAAAAATATAAAGATATTTTCATCAATCTCCCAGCTCGTTTCTTTCACTTTATACAACATGTCAAATATCACACAAATTATTATTTTAACAAATTTTATATGCAAGTTTACATTTAATATTTACTTTTTTTTAACTCAATCTAAAATATTAACAGTATTTTATCTCAAACTTATATTATAGTAAAAACGATTTTGTTATTTGTTACATCATCATTTATAATTAAGATTAATTTGTAAAAAGATAAAATAAATATAATTTTAAAATTAGATAGTAAAATCGAGGAGATAAAAGTCTGAAAGTTTTCAGTAATAAAATTTTCAAAAAAATCAATGGTAAAATATTTAATTAGAAAACATATCTCTTGTTTTATCCTGGATTAAAGATATCGCATAATTAACAAATGACTGAAAATATATATATATATATATATATATATATATATATATATATATATATATATATATATATATATATATATATATATATATGCATATAATATTTTAAATTTTAAACAGTGAAATTTTGAAAATTAGAAATTTAGGATAAAATTAGCATAAATGTAAAAAAAAAGACAGTAAAACATGTAATTAAGTCATTTCACTTATTTTTTAAATTATTCCTGTTTTTATTTTCATTATACTTATAAAATTAGGATATAAGATTATTTTAAAAATATATATAACGGGTATTATGCTATTTACCAGAAAATAATTAAAAACCATTTAAATATAAAATAATAAATTATACAACAACATGGTCCTCTTCTTATAATTTCTTTTAATTACTTTTATAATATTTTACGTTTTTTAATTATTTTTATGATATCATACTTATAAAGATGAGAGTGGTAATATAAAAAAAAATATTTATTATGTATTTAGAGAAAAAAATAATATATGATACATGTGAAGAGTGAAAAATAAAAAATTGTAACGCGAATATAAGTAAAGAATATGATATATATTAAAAAAATAAAAATAAAAATAATTATCTTAAAAATTAATAATATAAAAGATATATCAACTAATAATTATAAAATAAAGTATATTTAATTATTTTCATGAAACAATATTCTGTGATAGAAATAAACTGTGATTATTTTATTAAAGTTATTTTTTGAAACTTATTAAAAATTTATTTATGCAATTATCTTATCTTTAAAACTAAAGACATAATACTTAATTTAATTAGACACCTTAAAATAATATAATTATTTTTTTTAATTATTTTAATCAATATTTATTGTTCGATATTTTTTGAAGTTATTTTTTTAATATAATTATCTTTTTTATTTTCTAAATTATGTTAATAAATATTTGTCATTCTATTAATAATGTTTATTATAATAATATTGTTATTCTTTATTTTATAATTTTTGTTTATCACGATTTTATCTTTAAAATATCTTGATGAATTAAAAAAAATATATATATATATATATATATATATATAAATAAATAAATAAATTATTGTTGATCTTAATTTTTAAACTATATAAGATTTATTATTAATTTTAACTTATAAATAATATAAAATTTATGAATAAAAAAAATATATAATAATAATAATGACAGTTATCTTTATAAGTAAAATAAAACCTCAAATAAGAAAATAGAAAAAAAAAAAAGACTACAATAATTTCATGTCAAAAGTTATATTAAACAAAATAACAAAAGTCTCCTTGTAAGAAAAAAAATAATAAAAATTTCCGGTTTAAATCTTAAGTGTCAGATTAAGATTGCAAGGTGCTTCACTTGAACTTTCTTTTGCAACAGAATCGTCAATAATTCTTGTTGTGGCGAGTATTGACATGTTGTGAAGATGGCTTGATGAATTACTAGGAACAGTCGGAAAAAGAGAGAGGGTTTCAATACTGGTTTTATCACTGTTGTCCTCTACCTTCAAATTTGGAATTGCGTAGCTCTTCATAGTTGGATAATCCCGTCTCATGATTCTAACCTCATCAAATGTTGATGAATTCGACGTGTCACGATCTCTTTTCAACCACGAATGTCCGTATCTTGAATTCCAAGAAAGTTTGTGGATCATAGACTCACTTCGAATCCCAAGTGTCCTATTGAAGGACTCGCCATAAAAAGAACGAAAGTTATAAAAACTTGGATAGGAAGAATAATAAGAAAAGTGTCCTAACCCATTAACATCACAACTTTGACGATGTTTTGCAAAAGCACGTTCTTGCTTGTGTGCGTTTTGATGTCCTCCCAGAGCTTGTGAGGTAGAAAACTCTTTCTTACAATATTTACAAGCAAAAATATTTGCTTTTGACTCAGAATTCTTCGCATCTCCACCTTTAGAGTATGAAACAGATGAATCAACCGCATTTTCTCGAATCATATCACCTCTGTTTTGGATTTTCATAAAATCCAACAACGTCCCAATGTTAGACGTTGAACCTTGATCATCGTCAAACTTCAAATTCTTCTTCTGATTATGCTTCATTGCAAAACGTTGTAATGAGAAAATTAAGATAACAACACTATCGAGGCAAATGTATATATAAAACTTTCGAAATTGGGAAAGAATTAGGTAAAGAGTGGTGTATAAAAGGATATTTATTTTTCATCAGTATTATTATATCTACATTAATGAATAAAATGAGAATATTATATTACCATTGTTATTTCCAATTAGTACAATCTAAAATATAGAAATATCAACTAGAGATAAAAGCAGTATTTGTAAGTGTTTCCATAATCAAAACTTTCTAATTAACCAAATTATGACTTTTATGTAGTTTTCACATTATATTTGAAATTTATTATATTACTACAATTACATGTAATAATTATTGGAGAAAACACATGCAATAAAATCTGGTTCAATTGATTATAGTTATCAAATGGCTATATTTAAAATAAAAGCGTATGTATAAATCATACAAAATATTACATTATCTGGGTGTCAATCAAATAAAAAATAAATTATATCCTTATGTAAATTCATTCAATGTTACTCAAAAAAATCGAAAATACGCTTTTGATTATATATATAACATTGATATGAAGGTTGATAGTAATATTTTGTCCTCTTTTTACACTTGTGTTAAATATATTGTTTCTTAATTATATTAGCTTAATTTTACATTTATTGTTAATTTTTTTTAAATAATTAAAACATTATTTTCATTCTTAGTTATTTGGGTTTTGAAGGTGCTATTCTCTAACCTATATTTGCCACCACTAGAATCTTGAGAAAGCAACAACTATTGTGGATGAGATGAATCAATCACATACTACTCCTTCGTCATAGTGCGTAAAATGATGCAATTATCGACTTATACCTTCAACTTATCGATGAAATTTTAAGTTGGTTCAAAATATAAAAGTTTATTAATTTATTCAAATAAAAAGTTTTTTAAATTTTAAATAAAAAATTAGTATTATGTCCTACTTAAAAATAATATGAAGTATAAATTATATATATTCTCCTTTCTTAATTTATCAACAGATAAAACTATGATGGACGAAAATTATAAAAATTTATGTTAATAATTTTATAATAATAAATATAAGACTAAAATATTCTCACATTAACCAAAAAATATTATATTTTTTATATAATCCCTTTATAAAAAAATAAAATAATATCAAAAATAAAGTTTGTGTTTTATAGATTATAAAAAAGGAATAAAAAGTTAAATTGTATATTTTTATTATCTTGATAAAAGATTTTGATTTAGTATTAGTTTTTGAATTATTTACTTTTTAACAAATAAAATAAAAAAAATCTGAAGTTGATAATGTCATCACACCATATAAGCAAAATTTGCTTAATCAAGATGACGTTTATATATATATATATATATATATATATATATATATATATATATATATATATATATATATATATATATATATATATATGATATTATTAAGAACTAAAATAGAAAAGTAATATATTTTATAAAGAGTAAAAAAAATAAACATATATGTAGAAACTAAAAATAAAAGAATATCCGAATCAAACATTACAAAAAATTATTCAAAAGGATTAAGATAAAAAGAACTAATTTAAAGTACAAGAAAAATTAGATTTAGATGATTATTGTAATCTTTGATGATATTAAATTAAATATTACGACAATTGAATGAGAATTAAAAAAATTATGTTAATATTAAAAATGGTTGATTTAACCAATTTTTACATGAATGATTAAATTCAGCATAAATATACTTATTAATTCTAACAATGAATTAAGTAATAAAGAATGCATGAATATGAGATGCAATTTTAAAATATTTTTCTTCTCATTCATGGTAACATGAATCACTAAGTGGAAAAAATGGGTGGTTATAATTGATTGGTGGAGTAAAATATTTTAAAAAATGTATTCCTTTATTATTATTAGTGAAAATATAAATTGTATTCGTATTTTTTATAATTATTTTGTTTTAAATTTTTTATTTAAATTTTTAAATATATCCATTTTTTCATTAATTATGTATTATATTTATATTTTTTCCTATTTTTATAATAACTATTTTTTCTTAAAATTGTAATATTTTTATGTTTTTTTATGATATAAAAAACAGCGATTAAAAAAATTCCTTTGCATATAATTATAGATAAAAAACTTATAACAATAATCTCGAGCTATTTTTTTATTTTAAATATATTTTATAAACATTTATTTATTTGATCATTTAAAATAAGTTATTTTTTATATTTAGTCCTTATTAATATACTTATTATTTATATTTCAGTCTCTATGAATATATTATTTTTAACTTAGTCTTAATTTTTTTTTACGCTCTATTTATATATGTTTTTCTAATTTTAATCCTTATAAATATAATTTTTTTATATTTTAATCTCTAAAAAAGGTCCTGATGTGCAAAACATTCATGGAAGACAAAGGTAAGAAAAAAAAATTATAAATCAAAAGTAGAGTACTCCTATTTATCATAGGAAGTTAATTGAACCTTTTTAATTAAAGAAAGTATTATAAATTTATGATGTGCGAAAAATTGGTTGCGATTTCATACCAATAACTTAAAACAATTATGTGAAGTAACTCTTATATTATATTGTTACATATAATCTTTTTCGACCAATATTTTTTTATTAAGTATGCCAATCCTTCTTTTAAAATTTCTTCTGCCTATTAATCTCTCTCTCTCTCTCTCTCTCTCTCTCTCTCTATATATATATATATATATATATATATATATATATAATTAATAAGTATATTTTTCACCTTATTATTTAAGTTAATTAATATTTAATTAAATTAAGAAAATTAAATTTTTGAAAAGATTAATTACTAAAAAATAATTAATATTGTATAAAATTTTGAATCAATCTTATAAATAATATATTCTAAATAAAAAATTATTCAAGTAAATTTTTTGTTAATTTATTTACTTATTTACTATTTATATATAATCTTTCTTCTTTTAAGTTTTTTTCTCTTCTCATTCATTATTTGTATTTCTCTTTTTCATCTCACATTGTCATTTGATATTCTCATTCCTATCTCACTTATTATTCTAATTAAAAATATTAAATTAAAATTTATAAAAAAATTTAAAATTAATATTAAAACTAAAAAATATCAATTAATTATTTAAATTATGATGATAATAAATAAATAATTTTAAAAATTTTTATCATAATAATTCAATTACTCATTTAATTTAAAAAAATATTAAATATTTATAAGTTAAATTTATTTTTTATTTAATAATTTATCTAGTTATAATTAGATTGAGTTAAGATGATTAGTCAAATTAAATAATTTATAATATAACAATAATGTTTATAACTTTATGAAATATTTTTAAAAATATAATAAATTAAATTATAGTATAATATTTATAATTAATTTAAAATTTTTATTTTTTTAAAATAATAAAATATACCTTTTATCAAATTCTAATATAGTATTTTTAATTAAAAGAATGAGATAAAGTGAGAAAATAGACAGAAGAATAGCATTATAGCAGTAGAAGAAAAAAGAAAACAAATAATGGATAAAGAAAAAGTAAAAAAGGAATATTGAGAAAGAAAAATAAAATAATAATAAAAAAAGAAAAAATAACTACATTATCTAATATAATTTTATTTTCTATTATATATAAATAATAAAAAAATTGTAATTGATAAAAAATAAAATTCATATATTTTTTTAAAATATATTATTTTTAAGATTAGTAGTATAAGTTTTAATCTTTTGAAATATCCTCTTAAAAACTTTATCATAAAGTTTCTCTTGAATTCTCATACAAGTTGTAAGGGATAACAGCTTGGTTTGAGTGTCGTTTTTTCCTTGGAAATAAGCTCATCTTAAGTCATTAATTTATATAACATCTGTGAACGTAAAGTTTAAGAATAAAAAAATATATCTTTCGCAACTTAATTTATATAACTTATTATATGACTTTCTAACCTTTTTTTATTTTTAAATTCTGAAGGAAAAATTAAACTTGCTTGATTTAATTTTGTATTTAAAAATAGTTTTAAGAATTAATTTTTTTAAACAACTATTTTTATAATAAATTTAAAAAATAACTTATTTAATAACTCTAACCATCATTTTAAATATAAGAAAATGAATTTAATTATGTTATGATAGAAATATTAATAAAATAAAAAAATTGAATATTTTTTTAAGATAAAAAAATGGAATAATTATCATAAATTATTTTTTATCTTAAAAAATAATATAAAATGGAGATTTATAATGTAATATAATTTTATTGTATTCAATTTTTTTAATAAATTTTAAAAAATTCATTTTTGTTTTTATTATTTATCATCTTTTATTTTTATTTGTTCGATTATAAACAATTTTTTTAATATTTATTACGTTTAGGAAGTTTTTAACTAAAATTTAAAAATAAATTTAAAATTTTTATCATAAATTTACATAAGAGTTATTTAAATTTTTGTTAGAATTATTTATATAAACAATGTTTTTTATTTTAAATATTTTTTTTATTTTTAAACAATTCAAATTAAAAATATATAATAAAATATTTATTTTTATTTTTAAATAATTTTTGTTAATAACTTTCTTTAAAATGGTTGTTCTTTAAAAATGTTCTTATTATCATATATTGAATTCTTTTAAATGAAAAGATACTTGAAATAAAAGGTCTTCGATAAGATCAAACCTCATAAATATTCTTATGATGAAAAATGTAAAATAGGAATTTATGATTTTATTTAATTAGATTTTTTTTAATAAATTTTAAAAAATTTATTCTCTTTTCTATTTTTTCTTTTTATTTATTTTTATAAATTACTTAATAAAATAATTATAAAAAAGGATTTAAGTACTTATCTTGATAGGATTACTCTATTAAGAAGTTATTTCAGTTTTATTTAAACATATCAATTAACAAGTTATGATACTTTATTTAAGCCATTAAAGACATGTATTTAAGTTTTTCAGAAAAGAATTAATGACATTTATATAAATATTAATTGGGACAGTTTAATCTAAATAATCTAATAGTTTCTTATGGAACTGTTTCTAAAGTGTCAACCTTTTGTAATAAATAAAAAAATACTTGAAAAAGGAGTGAAACGTTTTGAAGAAGAAGTTGGATCGACGCAAAATCCATCTCCAATTGGCAATATACTGGTTCAGGCATTTTCTGGTGCAGTGATCTTCACCTTTATTTCAACTTTATAAAGACTTCAAACGGAGAAGCATCTTGAGTCAAACAGTTTGTTTTTCCATACCGAATTTGTGAAGTGTTGTGTCTATCCAAACTTCAATTTCAAAGATGCCTCGTGGAACGCTTGAAGTTATTCTGATCAGCGCCAAAGGCCTTGATGACAATGATTTTCTCTGTAAGCAAGCCCTGAGTTGTTTTTGTCAATACATGATTTCCTCTTTATAGAGATTTTGCACGAATTAATAAACTCTGGATCAGAAAGTTTGGTTTTCAACTTTTAGATGCATAAAAATTCTCACTTTATGATGGTTTGATTTAGATCTTTGTTGGTTTAATTTTATGCCTACTGACTCTCTTATTTGGATATTAAACTACAAAAAGGTCTGATCTTGATATGTTCTGTCTGGATCCGGCTTCTCTAAAGAGAACAAATCACTCTTACAGGGTAAAGTATGTAATTTGAGCTGTTGATGAGAAAATCCATGTTCAGTGTTAAGTCTATATACATAATCTGGTATGAATGTGTTTGAATATCAACAATTGCTTTCTTCATCAACTATTTCTTACTTTATTTTTACTCACTTCTCATATAGATGTTAAACTTTTTCTTTAATCTGGTTTTTGGGTGTTAACAATTCATATTGGTCAAGATAGATCATTCTCTAAGTGCTTGATTCTGTTCTCAATGAGCAGCCAGCATAGATCCTTATGTGATTCTCACATACAGGGCACAGGAGCACAAGAGCACTGTGCAAAAAGGTACATCCTTGACCAACTTTACTAAATACTTGCTAATGTAGGTAACCTTTTATATGGTGGCTAGAATTTATTAGTGTGTTATGAATACCAGATGCTGGATCCAACCCACAATGGAATGAGAGCTTTCTTTTCACTGTCTCTGACAGTGCTTCTGAACTTCATCTAAAGATCATGGACAAAGACAACTTTAGTCAGGATGATTTTCTTGGCGAGGCAACGTGAGTTAAATTCTCCTTTCACTTTCACATTTTGCATGCTTTTTCTATTTATTACTTCATTTTTCATTTTTATGACATGAGTAATTCTCTCTGATAAAAAAAGGTAGGATCATTTTCACCTTTGGCATAGTGATATGCATTCATTTCTATCTGCATTCTGCAGCATTTATTTAGATCCAGTGCTTGAAGCGGGTAGCCTTCCAGAAACTGCTTACAAGGTTGTGAAGGACGAAGAATATTGTGGAGAGATTAAGGTGGCTCTCACTTTCACTGCTGAGGTAATAATGGTGGAATCTCTGTTTCTATTATTTTTCTTCATCCTTTGATGCCTCACTTTCCATGAAAAAATCATGATTACTAGATATAAAACATTTTACACACGATTACTACATATGACTTTCAAGATATTTATTATTTATTACAGATGGTGATTTTTTGTTTGATGAGATTGTAATATAGTTTTTTTCTCTACAACTGAACAAATAACTTCTGGTTGTAGAGAAACCAGGAGCAGAGTTACGATGCAGAGAATGAGAACTATGGTGGATGGAGACAATCAAGTGGGGAATTTTAAAGTGAAAGAAGTATTTACATACTTCCCTGGCTCAATTAGTGTGTTTTCTGGTGTGAACATTCAATTAGTGTTCTGCTGTTTTACTTGCTTTCGTCCTTTTGGATATCAAAGTACATTTTGGTTTATGCATTTAACATTTTAAGACCAGTGTTATTTTAATTATTATTGGGGTCACTTAATTATGGAAAATGTAATCATAAAATGATTTATAATTAGGAATAACAATTAAAATCATATTTATATTTATAGAGGTTGTTCCGTCTTTATTTTGACAATAAAATTAAGCTGATAATGAACGAAGACTGAGATGAGTAATACAGACTGATTTCTCTCTGATTTTGTATATTTAAATTATAAAATATTAATTTAAAAAAAAATTCTTTTTTTACTTACATCATATATATAATGTGATATTTTTTTATATTTTACATTTTTTTTAATTTCTTAAACAATCTATTTATTACATTATTCTTTTTTTTATATTTCACATTTTTTTTATTTCTTCAATCAATCTTATATTTTAAATATCTTTAACCAAATTCGATAAATATAAAAATAATTATTTTTCTTTATTTATTTTAAAATTTTATTTTTAATTTATCTTAATTAGATTTATTATATCATGTTTTCTACATTTTTTTCTTATTTATTATATATCAATTTTTTTAATAAATTAATTATAAAAAGAATTGATAATTAAATTCTTTATTATTTTTATTTAAATAAGAATTAATTTATTAAATATGTTTTGTATAAATTATATTTTATATTTATTAATATTTTAAAATATAACCTAAAAAATAATTAATTTATATAATTAAATGTTTGAATATAATAATAATAATAATTTTATAAATATTTTATATTCATATAAAAAATAATTAAATATTTATATATATATATATACATATTTTAATATAAATATATATTTTTAATATAAATATAATAAATTAAAATATATATTTAATTAATAATAATAATAGTTAAAATTATAAAATTTTAAATATTTATTTATATATAAAAAATATTAAAATTAATTTATTAAATATAGTTATATTTTTAAAAATAATATAAAATGAAGAGGTGAATGAAAAACCTTCAATGAGGAAGAAGATTTAATTTTTAATATTACATAAAATCAAATTGTTGTCATGCCTAATTGAAACTATCTTTTTAATTAATAAAATTGTAATTTTATCCTAAAATATTTTTTGATTATATATAAAATATTTTCATAGGTGTTTTAAATTATAAACAGTCAACATCATGGAGTTTGATTCGAAAATTAATAGATTAAATTAATATATTGAAATCTCGACCTAAATAATTTTTTGACAAACGATTATAATTGTACTTTATCTTTTAAAATACGCCTAAAAGTTAAATTCCGCGAAGTTGTTTATGTTTTAACAACGTACTTATACAAGTAGTAATTTGTACATTGGATTCCATGGAAAAAAACTTATTTATCTGATAAAAAAAACAAATAATCAAGAATCTCATATTTCCTAGCCCTTTCAATAACTAAAGCTTTAGTAGTATGAATGAATCAGGATTGACAAGAAAAGAGCAGTGAATTAGGAAACCCCGGAAATGTGTTACATTTAAAAAAAAAAAATGATCCTTCTCTTTTTACTGAAAATTTTCCCAATTACATTTCCTTCTTCATGTCAAAACTGAAAAATAAGGTTACAAACATGGAGTACAAACTAAAAAGTTTTACATAAAAGTGAGAGAGATAATCTTTCACCGAAATTTTCAGTAAAAAAGTTCATTGAATTCTTTAACTATACTGTAAAAGCACCCATTAAATGAATCATGTTGGTATTTGCAAGGTGAAAATGTCTCATGTTAGCAAAATCTAAAACATAAATACTAAGTTGAGATTAAAACTTCAACCAATGTTTCAAGGCATCGATGATAATTGTCAGAATTTGCCAAGGTTGTTCGTAAAATAGGATAGGACGAGTTTGCTTATTTCTCTACCCAATCTGAATTCGAATCTGACTCGATTAAACTCAAAAGATGAGATCAACTTGACTTATTGACATTGTATATAATTAAATCATAGAACTAACAAAATATCAATATAAATGTTTTATAATATATTTTTTAAAAAATCAATAATATCAATATAATATTATGTTAAACAAAACATTATTTATTAAATTAAGAAGTTGTATCATCAATGCACAATTATCTTATAAGCTATACTTTTTATGAAAATCCATTATAGAATTTGTCCAAAATATGTTGACTCCTGTGACGATTTACATTAAGCATAGAGATAGAAAGTGACGAGTCAATAATGTTGTGTATAAAAATCCATCCCAAGTGCCAAAAATGGTTATGAAAAAGAGTATATAAAGGAGCAACAAGTGGTTAGCTTAAGTAGAAATAATATTAAGCACTTAGCACAGGCTGAATTATCTTTTAGTTAGGTCTTTCTTTACTTTCTTTAGGAGCTGAGTCAATTCTGGCATAGCATCGCCAATCAACTGAGACACTACCCACTGACTGACTCGGCGTATTCTGAATCAGAAGAATAGCCACTACCTGAAAGAAAAATATATGAAATCATGCACCCAGTTGACAACAATTAAGCTCTAAATAATAGATTTTATGTTTCACTTTCTGAAAATCATTTCACATAAATAACGCCAGATGTAAAAGATAGATATGGTCAAAGTCGTGTGTTTTCATGGTCGTGGACGGGCTAATTATAAAATATATGTTCAGAAAATAACTATCATAGTCAGATGATAGCCGATGTCTTCCTCGATTAGGGGACGGGACGTATTATTCTCCATGCTCTCCCTTCGGAGTAATTAACAAACCCTGCAAAGAGAGAAACATAATAAGATGGAAGTACTGTAAGGTTATGGGTGTGGTTTATATTAGGTATGTTTTGGTCATCTCATAACCATACAAAGGAACAAATAACATCCATACCAGCTTCAAGGGGTTTATGAAACACATGATAAGGAATATCTGTCTCAACTTTAGCTTTGGAGCAAGAAATTTGTCGTTTTTGGAAAGATGCAAGATGGAATATTAACAGATTACAACGAATATAAACCTTTTCAGCCAACAAAAATTATACTTACAAAGAGCAATCGCCATCCAAATCTGGAGAAAACCAGTGGTATAACATGGCGAAACCTAAAGGAAACATTCTAATACAGCACAAGTGACACAATTGTTGGATTTGATGAAAACATATGAAGTATCATTATTTCTTTTGTGTGTGTGAGTAGATAGGTAGGTTATAGGTACAAAATTTAATCTCATGATACTTATAATATATCTTATAGTAGCGCCTATAACTGTTGCATATCATAAAATTTATCATACTTCATAAAAAAATCAACCTTTAAGCTTTGAAAAAACAAATTGAGTTTTTTTTTTTAATCTATTAAAAAGTAGTTTTTAATATGTTAAAATCATTTAAAATAGGAAATGTATATGTACAGCCGATATTTTAATTGATTAAGTCGTAAAACAACAAATTAAAATGTTCTTGATGGTTTTTCCATGTTAAGGGTTTCCCAATATTAATATGTTAAATTAACAAATCAATAAATTAAAATGTTCTAAGTCATAATTCATGTTTTGAGTACCTCAGATTTTTAATCTGTTAAAACAAGTTTCAATCTATTAAAACAGAGAGCTACCATTTTCTAGCAGTTTTAATCCATTAAAAACTCGAATTAACCGATTAAAATAGTTTTAAATAAAATTAATCGATTAAAACTGTCAGTTTTTATCTTTTTTTCTATAAATACAGTTTTGATTTCACTTTTAAAAACACACAATTTGAAAAACAATTAAAACAATCTTTGAGCTCTCATATTCTTGTGTTTCTCTGAGCATTCATACACATTCATATCATAAGGCGCTTTGATCAAGATTGTTGAAAGATGTTCAAGAGCGGAAGTTCTGTGTTAGGAAATTTGCTTCTGGACTTCTGTATTACAAAAACTATTGTTTAGGTTTATCTTTTCTAATACTTTGTACGAATTTTTGATTGTGTAAATTGTGTTTGAATTTGCACTAGTTACAGCGACTGGGTTTTGGTTACTGGGTGGTTTTCAAGAGTCTATCTTGTGGTGTTGTAAAGTAGATTTTGGGGTAGATTGATTTGTATCTACTGGTTTGTATCTTCACTTGATTTTAGTGGAACTTGACAGGTTTGTCAAGAACTGGATGTAGCTATTGGAAAGAGTGAACCAGTATAAAAACTCTTGTATTATATTTCTACATTTTTCTCTTTTCATTCCAGTTTTATATTTCTGTTTTGTTAAAAATCAAATCTGCCTAATAAAAGATTGAATAAAGATTACTAATTCTTTCAAAGGAAAAACATTTTTGAAAAAGATTTCAAAGTTCAATTCACCCCTCTCTTGAACTCAACCATTAATTCTTACAATTGGTATCAGAGCTGGTTCTTGTAAGTTACTCAAGAATTTGGTCCAAGAAAGTTTAAATGGCTGAGGGAAAGATGACTTTTTTCTTAAGGAGCCTCCATAAATAGGCCTCCTCTATTTTGTGGTGTGAATTATCCCTTATGGAAGGTTAGAATGAAAATCTTTATTGAATCTCTTGATAGGGGTATTTAGGATACAATTGTTAATGGTCATTTCAAACCAACTCATACAGTGGATGGTAAAATTATCGAAAAAGGTTGGGCTGACTTAACTGATGCTGAAAATAGGAGAGTTCAATATGACTATACTGCTAAGAACATTATTACCTCTGCCTTAAATCTTGATGAGTTTTTCAGGGTTTCTCAATGTGCTTCTGCCAAAGAAATGTGAGAGATTCTAGAAGTTACTCACAAAGGTACCTTTGATGTGAAAAGGGCAAAAAATCATGAATTAATCAGAGATTATGAATTGTTCAAGATGCAGCAAGGTGAAACCATTGCAGATGTGCAAAAAGGATTCACACATATAGTCAACCATCTCATTGGATTAGGCAAGACGTTTGACAAGGAAGAGTTAAACATCAAAATCCTAAAATATTTGAACAGATCTTGGCAGCCAAATGTGACAGCCATATCAGAATCAAAAGACTTAACTGAGATGACTACTGCCTCACTATTTGGTAAGGTAAGGGAATACGAGTTGGAGATCAACATGTTTAAAGAACAAGAAAATGCAAAAAAGAAAAGCAAAAACATTGCTCTCAAGACAATTGAAGAAAGTGGTGATTCTGATAAAGAAGGATCTAAGAATCTTAATTTGTTGGTTAAGAAGTTTGGGATATTTCTTAAGAAGAAGAACAGAACTGGTCAGATTAAAAGGTACAATGATAAAAGAACTGATTCTCTTCAAAATAATTATACTTGTTATTCTTGTGGTAAGTAGGGATATATAAGAAGTGATTGTCCAGAAAAATTCAAGAATCAAAACAAGAAATACATGAGGTACAAAGGGAAGAAGACCTATATAGCCTGGCAAGACAATGATTCATCCTTAAGTTCTGGATCTGAAAGTGAAGAAGTGAATCTATGCTTAATGACTGGCTATGAATCTTCTTCATCCCGTGTAAGTTCAACCCCCTCAGAGAATGAAATGAATTACAACACATACACATTATTAACTGCTTTCAATGAAATGCATGATGAAGCTAAGAATTTATCTTATACAAATAATCAGTTAAAAGGACTAAATAACTGGTTAGAGAATAGAGTTAAAGTTTTGAAAGAAAAATTATTAAAATGCAAAACAGACATGAAACATCTTGAAATGATCTATAATAATTCATCTCATGATAATGTTGTTGCTAACAAAGATTGTGAAAAGTGTATCTCTCTGCAGAAAAAGGTTGAGTATTTGATTAAAACTTTATCTAAATTTACTCAGGTAAAGCAAATTTAGATGCACTTCTTGGGTCTCAAAACTGTGTTTTAGATCATACTGGTATTGGTTATAAATCTAAGTTTGGGGTTAAAACCAAAAGGTATTTGAATTTCTTCTCTTTCAAAATATCAACATCATCTCCCTTCTCATCTTGTTTCTATTGTATGAAAAAAGGGCATACTGTAAAATTCTGTCATATTAGAAAACATCTTGTGCCACAGTGAAAAATGAGATGGGTTCCAAAATATGTCAAACAAAAAACTTGACCATTAAGGACCCAAATTATTTAAGGGTACCAAATACTTGATGCTTGATTTTTCAGGAACAGCAGCAAGAATCTCTTTGGTACTTGGACAGTGGCTGCTCAAGGCATATGACAGGTGATATTTCTAAAGAATAAGTGCGACTCTATGAGTTCCTTCAATACTGGAAAGCTTAAACTTGAAGAAAGGTTGCTTGCATTCATAGTGGCCTGACAGCTTACTCTCAGGAGGAGCAATCATGCGGTGCTGAATGAAGGTGACCTGGTTCTCATGTTCTGTATCCACCACAGAATCAGAGTGAATTGGGTATTTGTTGTCAAAGACCATATGCTCAAAGCAAAGAGGCTAAGTGACTTTCGGTATCCTATGCTATTTTAATTTCTAAATTTCTCACTCACTTTGGTATTGAATTAGAAGGGGAACTTTCTGAAGTTGTTCGCCCCACAAATGAGATTAACAATTCCATCCTTCAAAAAATAGGGTTCATAAATATTGATGGTGATTGGATCTCCAAAGAGGAAGCTAGGAGAGATGAAGAGGATGATGATACAGAAGAAGGAAGAGGAAAACGACGAGGACACTGGTGGTCCAAGTGCTACTGAACCAAGACAAGCAGATCCCATGGAAGATGTTGGGGCTCAGCAGTCTCCATTAGACATGATTCCTTATGTGGCTCCACCTGATCATGACACCCCTCTTTCACAGTTTGAAAGGATTATGCTGCACCAAATGAATGAAATTCAAACTAATCAAAGGCGCCACATGGAGATGACATATGCTTTGCAAGCTCGCCAACATCGGCTTTGTGAGGATTCAATTGCCAGGTTTCAGCATATTGACAATCAGCTAAATGATATCTACAACAAAATTGGAGACCTCCAATTCAATCAAGGTCCCTGGGATGGTGATGAATGAAATCTCTTCTTGTCAGCTTTGCGTAATATTTTTTTGTTGTTTTTTTTTTTTTTCATTTGGGTACCTGAATGTAATTTGTGGATTGTATGTGATCTTTGATGAAGTCAAATAAGGGGAGAAGAGTGATATAACACTGTCACTACACTCACATCACAAACATATGTCTACTGCTATTTATTTTTATGCAGGTGCAGTGAATATTTGTCTTCATCCAATAGGGGGAGATTGAAGTACTTGTTGGATTTGATGAAGACATATGAAATATCATTATTTCGTTTGTGTGTGTGTCAGTAGATAGGTTATGGGTACAAAATTTAATCTCTTGAAACTTATAATATATCTTGTGATAGCGCCTATAACGGTTGCATATCATAGAATTTATCATACTTAATGAAAAACCAACCTTTAAGCTTTGAAACAACAAACCGAGTTTTTTTTTAATCATTTAAAAAGTAGTTTTTAATATGTTAAAATTACTTAAAATAGGAAATGTATATATTCAGATCGATATTTTAATTGATTAAGCCAGTAAAATCAACATATTAAAATGTTCTTAATGGTTTTTCCATGTTAAGGGTTTCACAGTATTAATATGTTAAATTGACAAGTCAATAGATTAAAATGTTCTAAGTCATAATTTATGTTTTGAGTACCTCAGGTTTTTAATCTGTTAAAACATGTTTCAATCTGTTAAAACAGAGAGCTACCATTTTTTTTAGCAGGTTTAATCCATTAAAAGCTCGAATTAACCGATTAAAATAGTTTTAAATGAAATCAATCGATTAAAGTATCATTTTAATCGATTAAAACTGTCAATTTTTCTCTTTTTCTCTATAAATACAGTTTTGATTTTACTTTTAAAAACACACAATTTGAAAAACGATTAAAGCAATCTTTGAGCTCTCATATTCTTGTGTTTCTCTAAGAATTCATACACATTCATATCATAAGGCGTTTTGATCAAGATTGATGAAAGATCTTCAAGAGAGGAAGGTCTGTGTTAGGAAATTTGCTTCTGGACTTCTGTATTACAAAAGCTATTGTCCAAGTTTATCTTTTTCAATACTCTGTACGAATTTTTTATTGTGTAGATTGTGTTTGAATCTGCACTGGTTATAGCGACTGGGTTTTGGTTGCTGGGTGGTTTTAAGAGTTTATCTTGTGGTGTTGTAAGGTAGATCTTGGGGTAGATTGGTTTGTATCTTCACTTGATTTTAGTGGAACTTGACAGGTTTGTCAAGAACTGGATGTAGCTCTTGGAAAGAGTGAACCAATATACAAACTCTTGTATTGTATTTCTGCATTTTTCTCTTTTCATTCCAGTTTTATATTTCTGTTTTGTTAAAAATCAAATCTGCCTAATAAAAGATTAAATAAAGATTACTAATTCTTTCAAAGGAAAAACATATTTGAAAAATGTTTCAAAGTTCAATTCACCCCCCTCTTTTGAACTCAACCATTAATTCTTACAAAAAGCAAGGACTCCAAACGAAGAATTTGTCTATGTAAATAACATTATTATCCAGATCTCCGATAAAAGACCTTTGCACAAATGTAAATTTCATGTCAAGGTAATAGATGATACAATATTTAATCCTCTCAACCAAAGCAATACTACAGGTAAATTAATTAGTAAAATAAACTTAGCAAGCCTTCCATAAGATAAGAGAAAAGTTGCCGAAAACTAAGTCATGACAATAAACATTTGAGCGATTGGTCGAAGATAAGTAGAACTTATTATACTGATAAAATTATTTAAAGAAATATTAGTTTCAGAATATTGACTAATAGGAACTCTTGTGATAATATTAACTACTTTTAAAAGAAAAAATAGAATTCATTTAAGGATGTAAAAAGCAAATTACTTTTAATAGTAACAGCTTGATTGTTAATCAGAAATCCAAGGGAGTGAAACACAGAATATAATCAGGCTGAGAAGTCCAATGCAGTTGAACTAAGACAAGTCATTTTGCAGCAGACAGCCACAATTTATTTTGCAATATCCAATTAAGAATTATGCTAAATTATACTGAAATACAGTGGGAGAAGCAAAACTAAACAAATCATTAACATAGTTAAAATAGGTATTGCCCACTCTCTTTAAATGCCCAAGAATTGATCAATGATCACTCTCTTTAAATCAGCTAGTAGAGTTAGCACACGAAATCCAAATAACATTCAAAAAATCTATTTGACAATTCCCTAGCACCATTAAAAATTAGATGTCCACAATGCAAGAAGAATTCAAGAAATCCCAGGCCAGGTAGATACAATTTATTAATATATTCAGCCCACAGTTCATGGAAATAATGATGTCACATCTTTTATGTGTACTATCCACATTCAATTTGTGATGTATTACCATAAATATGTTAATAAATAAGACATTGTCAATCACAGAAATCAAACTCACCAGTGCGTAGAGACCAAGCTTTGCTTTCTTAGCATGGTTCACGTATCAGAATAGGAATAGAATCTTATAACAAATAAACCATAACCACTGAACTGGGGAAGTGCCTTGGTTACTTTCACCAAGGGCTGCATGGTTTGAAACTTCAACAGAACTTTCTTTCAGAGTTCTCTGATCATGCTGATGAATCACCGGTTGGGTATTTTATGTTAATGTCAGATTCATGCTCTGCTGCAAATGCAAATGTAGACAAGAGTGCCTTTTGACCAGAGTTTGATACATGCTTATGATAACCAGATTTTACGTGTTCAGAAGATTGGTTTGAAACAAACGGACTTAGTGTATCTGATATTTTATCTGGAAACTTTGATTTCATTCCTTCTGACATGGATTGATTTTTCCCTAAAATCTCAGTTAAGAATATATCAGTCAGTGATACACTTTGTTTTGTTCTGTCAATAGCTTTGCTGTACTCATCCTTATTTAGAGAGGAATTTGCCTGCACAGGCAAACCAAAATTAAGTAACTGAGGCAACTTGCAACCATTTTCCGTACTCACATTGGGGCGAATATGACTTTTAAAGCCGCATACAGAGCCTTTGCCAAAAGAAAGAAAGTTTACTCCCTTGGGTGTCACAGCTGACAATTTCTTAGGAATCTCCACCTTGTTTTGAGCTTTACCAAATGAACTTTGATCTCTGAGGGTCCCAGTTTGTAGAGGACTTCCCTTGATTGTTACTGTACCTTGCTTTGGTATAGAAGGGCTGGGTGTTAATTTTGCAAGATTGATGAAACTAATTCCTTTAGGTGGTATAGACTGTTTCTGTGCAGTGTTTGTCACCTTATTTTCAACATTGATGCGAGAATGAATTCCTGAAGAATGAGTAAAGTGGTTTTGCTGGACAGAACCAGAGCCGTGATTATTGTTAAGTGGTGTACTGGAATTTGCATTTCCTGACTTAAGAGTGGACAACTCTGGTCTGAACATATTTGCGGGGGTAGGAATATCTTCTCTGGTTGGTGCCTGCATCAGAAAGTTCCCATTTTAATCTGTTAGAATAGTTCAGATGGATGCATATAAAAATTAAGATTGATATCAAGCTTATATTAAGTCTACTGACGCAGTCATTTACAAAAAGTGATCTGAAGTCACATAGGATGTGGTGCCACCTACCTGGTGTGAAAACAAGCAAGCTTCACCTCTTCTACAAGAACCTTGGGACACAAAATTGTGACAAGGATATTTTGAGAGCTGGTGATCAAATGGGCAATCACCCCCTTTCATGCAAGAGTGATGAGCAAAATAACTACATGGCTGCAATTTCAAAATCAATACAAGATCTTGTAAATTTCTCCAGGATTTTGTAACAACTTGTGGGGAAAAAAAAATGAGTGAGAAAATTTTAAAATGGACAATACCTTGGATTTTGTTTGAGGCACTGCATCATGTGAAAACTGACACTTGTCACCCTGCCAAATTTGTTTAGGAATAAGGCAAGAGAAAAGGAAGTAAATTATTTGATATTTTTATCATATGGATATCATATACTACTATATTGCAGAAAAAGCAAAAATACACTAACTACTCTTAAAATGATGACCTGGATGGGCTACTGTAACATAACATATCAAACAAATTATCAAGGGCTCGTGGCAGTTCAAATGTTACAATATAAATACTGAAAATGAAGAACCTGCACAAGATTTTTAATCTAACAATTAATATGGAAATCTTCTTTCATAACAAACAAATATTACATTTTACCTAAAAGAATGACAGAATTTTATAAAAGTGAAATTGAATGGAGTTGATGAAAATGTATAAAATATCATTGAATCACTGACTTACAATCCTATATATACTGTCAGCACTCAGCTAAGAGTCAGCTATAATTGGCAAGAACAGCTCCAACAGAAAGGAACACAGTGAGTGATATAAAAGAAAACAAAGAAAATAAATCAGAACAATACTTGAGAAGAGCATTCTCTTACATTACGCCAATTATTTTATAAATGAACTTTTCAATGAAGTTCTAAGTTTAAAGAAGTGAAATACATCAATTACCTATTAAATCACAGTTAAATGAAGTATCAATACCAGAATAACAAACAATCGTCTGTATTGTGCAATGGCTCAATGTAAAATAGTCACAACAAATAAAATCAAGAAGAATAAAGATGGCATGTTCCATATATGTATGAAAGTAAAAAATATTCCACAGTTTAACATAATAGGGTAAAACATACCTCATGGCACCTTCCCGCAAGATAATGGCGACAAAGTGACACAACTTTTGGTTTTTGTATATACGGCTGCAACTGCAATCTTTTAACACCCAGTTCTCTGTTCTTTACTGCTTTCTTCATTTTACACGCCATCTACAAAATAAAGTTTTATCAAATAAAAAAATCAGTCACATGCTGAAAACATACAGATTTAATTAACTGATGTTGAAATGACTTCAAAAGAGGTTAACTTAACAAGCTCCATATCAAAAGTTAACAATACTATAGCATCAAGAAAGAGAATCAATAACAAAATATCCGTAGAATACCTTCTTTTTTTCTTTCTTTCCACCACGCTTGTTCCTTTTACTGGTATTTACCAACTGCAGCAGACTGATAAAAAATTAGCAAAAGGAAATTTGGTGTAAGTTGTCTTAAAATCATTAGACAGTTGGTCCAAATTGTGGAACTCCGCATAAGGTGTCCAAAGCTAAGGTTGAACAAATAATTCTCATCATATTTCTGATTTAGTTAATTTTGCCCAAAAACTCAAATAGGAAAAAAAAGTGGTAACTGAAAACAATATAAAGACTTGGATATAGACATACAACAATGTGATAACAATTTTTTTTTTTCATTGTTTAGGGAAAGGGAGGGGAGAGCCTAAGAGAATTTTGAACTTACTAAACTAAATATAACAAAAGTTAAAATCGTCATTGAATAACTTCATAATTGGTGGTACATACTGATAAATATATGAAAGTACCAAAATAAAATGAAGCTTCACATGCACAAATTAAGAACAATAATACAATATGTAGTAGAAAAAAAAAAGTAACAATAATATTAGAAGAATACCTTTGTTTTATCTTCCTTCTTACATTCATCAGTTTCTTCAGAAATTGCTACTTTATCTCGGCATGCAATTCCCTTGTTGCCACCAGTTCTAGGGTCCACTTGTCCACTATCATTAGTATCTTGAAGTGAACTTACCACAGAGGAAGTAGACTCACGTCCTTTTTCCTTTTCTTGATCCTTAATCATATAAGGATATATCATCATATTTCTAGTTACATTTACAGGCTTCTGAACCTCATCTGCTTCCATCTGATGTAAAATTAAAGCATCCGCAGAAGACACAGCTAATGAATTGCCATCCATTCCCAAATCTCGAGAAATTTCTCCCTCTTCCATGTCTACTAGAGAATCTATCAACCCAACTTCACAACCATCATTATGTTTCTCATCAAATCCCATGTTCAAGGGGATTGAACCACTATCACAAATTAGATCTTCATTTCCTTTCATAACTAGCTCAAACTCATTCATTAGCTCCTGCTCCATACCAAAACCATTTGCTTGGGTAGAAATGTCCTCTATTCCCATCATATGTTCTATATCATCTAGGACCATCTTGTTGGAAGTAAAATTCATATCCTTGTCTTCAGCCCCCTCAATGGTCTCTCGAACCTCCTGTGGATCCTTCTGGCTTATAGAATCCAAAATATCAGAATCAACAACTTTGGGGCACCTAGGCTCCTTTTCTTTGTTTACTTGATCCATTCTACCACTGCCATTATCTTTAAAAAGGGCAAATATAATTTTTTCAATGAGTGGTAAATAAAAATGTGAGCACACATTAAATTGATCCATAGCCAAAAACATTATTTTAAACTCCAATTCTTAACTCAATTGACAAAAATTTTAAAAACACTGAATTGAAGAAACATCAGAAGGACACAATATCATTGAAACTACCAACATTGAACCATAACCCCAACCTAATCTTAAAACCTTCAAATTTCAATTACTAATCCCAATAGGAACATAAATTCAAAAGAAAAAACTTTTTATTAAAAAAGAAAAAACTTTTGATATTAATTTACCAAATACTCAAATAAACTTCATATAATTGGGAAATGGGAAATTAAATTGAAAAAACAAAAAATTAATCGGTAACCATACGTCAAAGCTTAAAGTCTCAAACATAAATATACAGTTAATAAAAGCATATAATAATGAAAAGGAAAAAAAAACTGTTTGAAATTAAAACAAAAGGAAATAAAAAGGTGGGCTTTTGAGATAGAAACACATACCGGGAATGTTGAGGGTTTGAATTGGAGTTTCATGTGAAGAGTTGAACTCAGCGAAGCGAGAGAAGAGGTGAACAAGGGCATGGTAAGTGTTGCTACGCAAGTGGGATCGTCGGTAAGGAGGGAAAGCCATTGCGAATTGTGAGGGTTTGAGATATCCAATTCAGATTCCTTCACTGCAAAGCAGAACAGGTTTCATGTAAAAATATCTTCCAGTCAAACTACTACACATTATAATTCACTTTACTTTATGGTTCCGAGAAAAAAATTATTCCCATCAATGTCTCCTAGTATTCATTACTTCACTTTAATTTGGTCCAAATTATCATGGTATTATAAAGAAGGGAGAAACATATTTGGTAAAATAAAAACTGATTCGCATTACATATGTCAAGGGTACAGATACGGATTACTGATCTACACTCTAAATTGAAACCCGAGAGATAGCTCACAAAATTGCACAAACGAGATTGTGAATATTCTACCTGATTAAAAATATCTTCCGAAGTTCAATGGCAGTAGAAGAACAACAACCTACAAGACAAATCAAAACCATCAATTTAATGCCAAACCAATCCAACCAGCAGCAAATTGATGACAACACAATGCATTGATTACCAAATGATAATACAATAATTAAATAATAGAATTAATCATACGAAAGCTAGGCCAATCGTCATTTTAGTCCTATCCCATTGTTTGGTAAATGTCTCAAACTCACAATTATAGGGATTTCTTCTCAACAACCCCTTCTGCCTCCATCTACAACTGCGTTCTACTGGAGTCTCTCTCTGTGTAGCAGCGAACTAGCACTTAGAGCTCTTCTAAGGATGTGTTTGGTTCGTGTTTTAACGATAAATACGTGCGCAATTAACGTGAAAAACCGAAGCTAATGGTAAGGAGATATTTGGGCTGGGCCCGCTAATGGGCCCAAACGTTTTTTAGGTCTTTCATGCTTTCTCTATCCTTATTTGCTTAATATATATATTATCCCTTATATATTTCACAAAATTAGTAATCATAATTTTTTAAAAGTGTTTTATTTTTAGAATAGTGAAGTAGAAAAGGTTTCAAATTAATGGATTTAAAATATATAGTTTTTAAAAATAAATAAATTAAACAATTCAAAACATATCAAAAAATATTTTTTCAAATTCTGAATTGGTGAATAAAAAAGCATCTGGATTAGTAAAATCATAACTTTTTATTAAAAAAAATTTTAAATTCATAAATCTGAAATTTTTTAAATAAAAAATTTTAAATGTCAAATAAATTAACATTACCTTTCGAAACCAATAATTCAATAAACAATTATACAAACTTTCGTTTGGTGCATATAACATGTCTTACCTTAAAAATTGCTAGTGTTTTTTTTATCCTTGTTTTTATTATGTTATATAATAAAAAAAGTGTATATAATAATTATATTATTATATAGAAGATAATTCCTTTTTTTAACCACTTTTTATCTCAACTAATAATTTTATATATTATCTTTTATTAAATTAAACATAATTATTTGTAATATGTTTATGATGAAAATAAGAGATATAATATAAGAAAATAAGTTATTATTATATTATGTATTTAAAAAATGGACAGAGAAAATAGTTTAGTAAGTAATTTTTAATAAATATTAATTATTTATATGTTTAAATAAAATATTAGTTATTTTAAATTATTTTTATTGAATATTTTCTAAGTAACATTAATAGTTCTTTAATTTTTTTCACTAAATAATCATTATTATATTCATCTTATAAATCTTTCCGTTATTATATGATTAAATAACGAATATTTTCTAAGTAACATTAATAGTTCTTTAATTTTTTTCACTAAATAATCATTATTATATTCATCTTATAAATCTTTCCGTTATTGTATGATTAAATAACGAGAAAAATATTTTATTCGTCTGTGCGTACAAATAACGATGTAATTATCATTTTATTATAAGATTTTTAAAAACTAAATCTTTGTTAGTAATAAATTAATTTTAAAGTAAGAAAAGATTAAAATTAATTTTTTTTCTAACTCACCGTATAATAATTTAACATAACAATGTTTAAAATTTATTAAAAGTATTTAAAAATTTTAAGTTACGCAATCTAATTTTACTTTTTAAGATGGATCTTAAAAAAAATTAGAAAATAATTTTTAAATATAATATTTATAAGAACTCATAAAAATTTGCAGGCTCACTTTTTGAGCCTGCTTGTCACAAAAGTTCAATCCCTAATCCCACATTTTTCTTTCTTCCTTCCTTCCCCATTTTTTGAGCTTACCAGAGCAGTACGCGAAAATTGCAAGTCCAACACCTTCTTCCTCAAGGTAACGTAAGTTTTCTCTCTTTCCTTCTTTTTTTTTTTTTTTTTTTCTTTTTAAAGTCTCTGTTTTCATAGATAGGTTGATGGGTAGGACACACAAGTTCAAATCGCTAATCCCCTTCACTGTTTTTATTAATTCCTCAATCCTTTTTTCTCAGCGCCATGAAAATAATCCGATCAATGTACTATTAAAATACCAATTTTTTAGTTAATTCCCTGAATGAATCGCCTTGCTCCATTTGTTTTTTTTTTGTTTTTTTTTTTGGGTTTTCCATCTTAGATTGCAGGAGTATGAAATTTAATTACTTTTAAGTAATGTAATTTTTTTATTATGTTGAATTTTGTTTATTTCATTGTAGTGATCACTACTAAGTTCAATTATAGTTGCTGTCTTCTTTTGTTTGAATATACGAAAGCCAGATTTGAGAGATAACGATTATAAAGAATGGAGATTTCAGTATTTATTTTGTTTGATTGGTTTTAATGTTTATTTTGACCATATATATAAATCATTCAAGTTTTAAGGTGAAAATTATCTACAGGTTAGAAACTAAGGATGGGGGAAGAGAATGAAGAAATAAAAACATTCAAGGATTTGGGCTTATCTGAGTTATTGGTTGAAGCATGCGAAAAATTGGGTTGGAAAAATCCATTAAAGATACAGACAGAAGCGATTCCTCTCGCATTGGAAGGTTAGCATTTCATTCAGTTTTGTTATTCAATCTGATGTTTACTGTGTTAATTCTGATTGTATAACAGAGACCTGCCAGAAAATATGATAATCTTTGTTGTATGACTGATGATGATATTTGGATTTTCAAAATGAAACTATATAATATATAAATATTATTGATTTTTTTATTGCATTGTTGTTTCAGTAGTGTCCCATTCCAACTTAAATATTTTCCCTGTGAAATTGCTTATTATTTTTCTTGGTTTGTCTTTTTCAGGAAAAGATGTGATAGGACTTGCCCAAACTGGTTCGGGTAAGACTGGAGCTTTTGCTCTTCCCATATTGCATGTCCTCTTAGAAGCACCACGTCCAAAAGATTTCTTCGCTTGTGTGTTGTCTCCCACAAGGTTTGATAATTTGATGCCTAATAATTGATTTTCATATAATTCAAATTTTATTGATTGTAATTGTTCTGACTGATATATTGAACAAGTTTTCTTGCCACCCTTTTATTAATTTAGAGAACTTGCTATTCAAATTGCTGAGCAGTTTGAAGCTCTAGGTTCTGAAATTGGTGTCAAGTGTGCTGTGGTGAGTTTCTATCTATTTTTTCTGAAATGAATCATTATGTGTGAATTTTATCGCTGTGTCCCCCCAGACTTGTTTCAGCTTGATACTTATTAGCATCATAGGGTGGTTAGGCACTGTGTTATTGTTCTATTTAATACATGAATATTAAACAATCTATTTGATTGACATCTTTTCCTTTTTCTCTAGCTTGTTGGAGGAATTGACATGGTACAACAATCCATCAAGATAGCAAAGCAACCTCATATTATTGTAAGTGTGATGTGACCACTCTTTAAGCATCCTTTGTTTTTTTTTTTGTTTTTTTTTTGTACTTAGAGGATGTTAGGTGATAGTTGAGTGAGACCCAAAATTTAATCATAAATATGTTTATAAAATACATACTAATGTTTCACTAAAGAAATGAATTCATTTTTTTTTGTCGTTGGTTGTCGGTTTCTAAATTAATTACTGGCTTATCTTACCCATTATTGGTTAGAATATTTTATAAACAATGTATTACTTATATGATTTCACTTACAGAGATAGGATTTTGTTCTTTTTTTTTTTTTTTTTAAATTTACTAACTTGAATACAAATATACCCAGAGAGATATGTATAATGGTTAATGTTTTGTAGTTGCTAAGCTATCCAACTCCAATGATATTTGAATATTCAGTGATATTGCTGGAATGGATTCCTATTGTTAGTTTTTCCTTCTGTTGTTTTTAGCATGTTTGCTTTCAACTATTATTGTTAAGCTGTTTAACATGGTTCCTTTAACTTTAATATAGGCGTTGTCCATTATAGTCATTTAAGCTTCTGTTAGAAATGTACCTACAGGAACCCATTATAGTTCTAAATCTTTCTTGGATTATGCTTCATACGTTGTTGAATAATGACTTTCATTCATTTTTTGCTTCATCTATTTTAATTTTTCATTTGGTTGGTCTTGATAAATAGACCAGGAACTTGTTATTTATCCCCCCTCCCCCATTTAATTGCTTGAATGAAATCTGGTTACAACTTTTGTCATTTTTATCCGACAAAGACTTAATTTGAAGTTTGTGTATCTCTTTACAACTTTGGTCATTTTTATCCGACAAAGACTTAATTTGAAGTTTGTGTATCTCTTAACTCCTCTATCTTGAAGGAGCCCTACGTCTACAAGGACTGATCTTTTTTTTTTTTTTTTTTCTTTTGTCAATGTCTTGGAATTCAACTAGGTTCTTTCATGGGGAAGAATAGATTTAATAATTTCTTCTGTCTTTAGTTTTCCACGAATTTTTGGCCTTCTTAACATTGCTGTATTTTGTTTTTTATTTATTATGTTGAATTCATACTCATGCAGGTTGGGACTCCTGGTCGAGTTTTAGATCACCTAAAAAATACAAAAGGATTTTCTCTTAGTAGATTGAAATACTTGGTATGACTTCTACATTTTTTTTAATATATAATGAATTCATGATATTACTTTTGCATCATAAATGTCATATATCATGATACAGGTAAATGCTTCATTCCTAGATTCCATTTGTTTACCCTGATAGTATAAATGAATTTTTT